TAGATGCCTCCAGCGCCGTTGAAACATATACTATTTTTTTTTTATTTCACTTAATCCTCACTGACAACTTTCTTAGACCAACAAATATACTTTCGGCGCAAAGTTTCAAGAGAAATTCATAAACATTGCAATCTGTGCAAACCAGCAGAAACTATGTACATTAGGGTGTCAGTTATTTCCCAAATTGATTGTGTTTTATGCATTATTATGTTTTTGCCTTAAAAATAAGAATGCAACCTAAACAAGCTAATTTTTTTCAATTTAAACTGTTCCGAAATCATATTATATTTCTTTTGCCATTTATATAACATGAGATTTTTTGTTAATTTGCATTAAGCAAGTAAATCTACAACTTTGAAAATGTGATATTCTAATACAAAATTATTCGCACTACAAAAAAGGTTGTATAAATTGTTTCCGTAAGAACATTCCTTTAGAAATTACACGCAGTTAAAATTATACATCAAATGACTTGAGAATTCATAGAAGTGATTTACCATATACATATTGTGTTACTCATACGGCGTGGTGTATTTTCACCATGTTCTTACGGAAAAAATTAACACAACCTTTTTTGAACACAGTTCATTTGATGCATAGCTTTAACTGCGTATAACTTTTAAAGGAATGTTTTTATGGAAAAAATCAGCACGACCTGTTTCGTAGAGCGGTAATTTTTGTATTATAATATTACTTATTCAAAGTTGTAAATTTTTTTGCTTGATAGAAGATTATTATTGCAAAATATCAAAAAATAAAATATAAAAAATATTGGAAAAGTATATAATTTAATTTGAAATGATTTGCAAAATAACAAACAAATTGGGAAATAACGGACACCCTAATGTACAACTCATATCTAAGTATGTATGTTTGAATGTGTATGTGTGTGCAAAAGCTATGGCTGGCATATCGAAACTTTAACAAAGTTTCACTTAACGCTGAGTCACTGGAGCAACTAAGACCAAGCAGATTATTCCTTAGAAATTATTCCTCAAGTTTTCTGGTCTCACTACTTGAAGCGCTGACAATACCACTTTCGGTGTGAGTGCCTTTTTTTTTTTTTGATTCACCCAGGATGAAGCGTTCTAGTGAATTATAATTAATTTTGCCAGCACAGCAAACAACAACAGAACTATGTAATTTACCGTGACACAAACAACTTGGGTGGCTTCTGTTGTGCTTCTGTGTCGGATGGTGGCACATTGTGTGGCATATATTTTGGTGGTAATCATTGCAAATTTTTGGTTGCAAGTTTTAGTCGAAACTTTCACAGAAATCAATTTAACAACGAGACAGATCGCTTGGCATGGAGGCGAACACGCTACGCCGAGCACGTAATCGGTGGGGAGAAGAAGAAATCATTTCAATTAATTGGCTCATTAAAACATCACTCATGCACCAAAGATGTGATTTGTTGAAAATTCTTTACCACTATAAAATATCAATATGGTCGACAGCGGTAATTAATTAACAAGGAAGGAAATACTCATATCAGCTGCAGTTGAGTATTATATACTCTTGCCATTGGCTAGAATCAAACCTTATTATAGTTCAGAAAACATTTACTAAAATATTACCCACACTGCCCGATACGAGATATAAAATCAACCATATCGTCGAAAATCACTATGTTGTGGATATATTGAGGTTAAGGGATGGATTGATTTATTCCTTAAATTATTATTTGAAGTCAGCACGGATGAAATTGGGTATATTGGAGCTAGAAGGTGTCTAAGCTTAATTCAATTACTTTTGGCATTTAACTAAATTAAAATTTCTTTTCTCACAATTTTATTAAGATACATTTTTATTAACAAATGTTAAAATATCTTACATATTGGCCATTATATTCGGTTAAAGCCAACCGGATGTTCGAAAATCATATATCAAATCTGATATGTGATTCAAATGTGGGCTGAAAACGAGTGTTCAGCAAGTTAAGACATTTTTGGTAGATTTCAGAATAACTTTGGACTACACGAAAAGATATATGTACATTAAAAGAATTTGCATGAAAACCAATACATGATTATATTATTAAGAAAAGGATGAATGAACACACAAGAGTATCGATTAGTTTCGTCCATTTGGATTTTAAAAAAACTTATTGAAACTTTAACAGAAATTTCTGGTAACGCTTTCTGGTAATTAACGTATGATTTGTTTGCAGAGCACGAACCAATAATTATATTATACTGTCAAACGCACTCCAGGCGCAGTAACAGGGTCTTAACTTTCGTAATCTCGGGCTTATGCATTCTTATAAAGAGGACTGTGGCAGACATGATCAATTTCATCATGCGATTCAATGCACATACATACGAGTATTTACATACATACAAATGAAACATTATAGGTATATGTAGTAGTAGTGATTAAGCAATTCTTTGACCAATTTCACCCATTTTCGGCACCAAATTATAGAATATGCGTTCACTTAATTTTAATAAGAGTGCCATTTTGAATTTTTTTGCAAATTACTTATTTATTCATCAATATACATTGTGTTCCCTTCAAAGTAATCCCCCTCGGATATAATACGCTTGAGCCAACGCTTTTTCCAAACCTCGAAAGACTTCAGATGTGCCCAAATCATTTGAGAAAATTGAATGGCATGAGCCGATTGATATGCGAACATCCTCTGCAGCTTCCCTAATAGTGATTCGACGATTTTCAAGAACAGTTTTTTTTCACTGTTTCGATGTTTTCTTCACTTTTTGACGTGGTCGCACCTCCAGGATGCTCATCGTCGTCAACATATTCACTTCTAAAATGCTTGTATCACTTATAAACACTTTTTTGAGACGAAGTGGACTCACCGAATGGCACAGTCAGCATTCAAGTGCTTTGTGGCACTTTATTTCATTTTTGAGGGAAAATTTAATACATATTCTTTTAAAAGTAAAAAATCGAAAAGCACACAAAAACGTGACTAACCTTTTCCGTTGTCAAAAACAAACAACGAAATGGGCTCTAATGCAAGCACATGATTAATATATGTGATTAAACAAAAACAAACCATCGATAATCGAATGTACATAGCCCGCGAAAAATCAAAATTCAACTTTTCCTTTGAACTGACCTCGTACTTATATACTGTAAAGTAAAAAAGTCATAAGGAATTTGAACTTGCGATATATCGGCGTGGTGTAGTCCTATTGGGCTCATATTTTTTTAAAGCAAAACAAATCATAGTAGGTTGAAACCCCTTAGAAAAGAAAGATAAAAAAACAAAAATGAAAGGAAAAATAAGTCACGGCCTATCTGAGATCGGGAAGAGGAAATGGAGGGGCGTGGCTGAATTTATAGGGGTTAAAAACAGCAAAATTACGGGTACTGTAGAAAAAAGTTATATGCCAAAGTTACAGGTAATGAAAAGATCAAATGTTATTTTTTTTTTGTTCTACAAAAAAAGTTTTAAGAAATTTGCTGTAAGCCTACCTCTTTATGTCACAAACTCACTGTATTTTTATACTCTCGCAACCTGTTGCTATAGAGTATAATAGTTTTGTTCACCTAACGGTTGTTTGTATCACCTAAAACTAATCGAGTTAGATATAGGGTTATATATATATAAATGATCAGGATGAAGAGACGAGTTGAAATCCGGGTGACTGTCCGTCCGTCCGTCCGTGCAAGCTCTAACTAGAGTAAAAATTGAGATATTTTTATGAAACTTGGTAGACATGTTTCTTGGTACCGTGAGACGGTTGGTATTGCATATGGGCGTAATCGGACCACTGCCACGCCCACAAAACGCCATTAATCAAAAACAAATCAATTGCCTTAACTAAGCTCCGCAATAAGATACAAGACTGTTATTTGGTACACAGGATCACATTAGGGAGGGGCATCTGCAGTTAAAAATTTTTTTTTAAAAGTGGGCGTGGTCCCGCCTCTAATAGGTTTAATGTGCATATCTCCTAAACCGCTAATGCTATAATAACAAATTCACTGGAAGCAAATATTTTTAGAACCTCTACCCACAGTGTGAAAATAGTTGAAATCGGGTGGCAACTCTGCCCACTCCCCATATAACGGTACTGTTAAAAACTACTAAAAGCGCGATAAGCACTAAACACGCCAGAGACATTAATTTTTATCTCTGGGATGGTATGAGATGACTTTATAAGAACCGCGTTCAAAATTAAACAGTGGGCGTGGCACAGCCCACTTTTAGGTGAAAACCCATATCTTGAGATCTGCTTAACCAATTTCAACAAAATTCGGTACATAACGTTATTTTCATATTTCTATGTTATAGTGCGAAAATGGGCGAAATCGGACTACAACCACGCCTATTTCCCATATACATACCATTTCAATTCCATTTTCAATTCCATCTGATTATTTCACTTTCCACTATGCATATCAAGCAACAAAGATTACATCGGGGTAAAACTTTATACGTTTAAAGTATGCCACCTTGTGACCAAAAATTGTCTAAATCGAACCAAAACTGTTCAAGCCCCTAAGAAACCACAAAGAAATCTCAAACGAGTATACCATTTGACTTTGCGAGAGTATAAAATGTTCGATTACATCCGAACTTAGCCCTTCCTTACTTGTTTAAATTAAATTATTTATTATTTCTCTTTATTTTAACGTAATATCGAGAAAAAACCTAATTTTCAAACGAAAATTCTCACTCCAAAATATCATATAATATTTATATTAAACTTTTTTTTTAAATTGGTAAACTTCGTTGGAATCATACTATGGTAAGTTTTCTAAAAAATTGCAAAAAAAAATCCACAAATAAACGATACAAAGCTGTTTTTTTTATTTCAGCTTCCACATAATTCGTAATAACAGCTATAAAAAAAGCAACTTTGAATCGTTTAGTAGATATTTTTATGCATGGGATGTAGATGTATTCACTCTGGTAAATATGGTGGCACTCTATATTTATTCGTAAATTTCAATTCACTTTAATTATATAGGATTGTGTCAGTAACAAAAAAAGCAGAATTTGTCATAAGAGTTTTAACTCAATATTTCGAAATAAAATGTTTTATTTTTATGAACCAAAAATAAATTTTCCAAAGAATCAACTAGTGAAAATGTGTTTTTTCAGTAATAACTGAATACGACCATATTGTAAATCAACAAAATTTTCTAAATGTAAAACGAAAATTTATATCAATAACAAAAAAGATGTTTTTTTTTTTTACTTCATGGATCAAAAGCACACTTCGAAGTAACACAAACTGTACAAATTGAACTGTCCCTGTTAGCCACCTATCGGCAGAGTATATTATACAGAAACAAATAACGAAAACGGTGAAGTCACCGGTTAATTACCCAACAACGAAACGTCAGAATTTAGAATCGTATACAATAGTAAAATTACGATTGCAATTTTTATAAATTATTTAATGCTTTCTATATTGCACTTTTGTTTAAATTAAGCTTTTTAACTTTATACACCCACACAAATAATAAAGGTTTGGCAGCACTGCATAAGTAATCAGCTGCTCGAATAACTTTTCGGTTAAAGCAATTTAGTGTTTTTAATTATAAAATTTACAATCGTGAGTTAGGTGGAATCGAGCTCAAAGATAAGTAACAAAAGTGGAAGTAAACTGTTATCAAGCAGGGAAACTAATAAATGAGTACGAAAACACGATAAGCGAGCGGAAACGTACAAAGTGTACTTAATGGTGTCCAATTTCGTAGTACAACGAAAGTTGTTTTTGCTTAAAACTATAAAAAGTGAACCACCGTATATATACCAAGGGTAAGGGTTGAAGTAGAAGGAAGACGTAGCTTGAGGGTCTTATAAATCGCAACCGATAAAAATCAAAATGGGTACAAATTGGCGTGAATTGTTTCCAACAAAGCTCACATTTGTCATATTTCTGCTCTACATATCGTTATTCATTGGTCAAGGTTTGCAATATTACCGATTAATTTATACATGATGTTATAATTTATTTTGTATATTGAATTACAGGCATATTCGTAACCGCCTCTCAAGAAGCCAATAACTCCTACAGCTATAATACAATCACCGTGGTGCTGTTTACAGAAATACTAAAGCTTGTTGTGTCAACTAGTTTATATTGTAGAGAGTATGTAGATCATACAATCAAATATTGTCATAAGTGTATTAAATAATTTTTTCATTCATTTTTTTTTTCTTACAATTCAGAAAAAATTTCATCAATCTACTGCAAGATGTGCGAAAGGATTCAAATGTCATGATGCTTTACTTTGTTCCTGCCTTTTTGTACTGTCTCTACAATAATTTAGCATTTGTCAACTTGTCAACGTTTGATCCAACGACTTATTACCTTCTCTTGCAACTACGTGTCGTGATAACTGGAATTTTATTTCAGGTATGTAATTAAAGGTTAATTTTGGCTATTCCACACATACTTAATCAGAAATTTGACAACATTCGTACATATGTTGGTATTTTCTGCTCTTAAACAAACAATTACAGATTTCTTAGAGTCAACATAAAAAGCAAAGAAAAATTTTCTATAAAAATATTTAATATTAGAATGCAAGACCAATGTATAAAGGTATTTCTTTTTTTACGATATGGGTTTGTTATCGCATATCATTTCAGTAGTAATTAATTTGCTATTTTTCGAAAGTGTTTTACACTTTACTAGATTAATAAATAATATCTGAATAACTGGAATTGTTTCGGTTTATTTTTTCAACCAAGGACTGTCAACTCGGCAACACCAAAAGTATTTGGGGGAATATTACTGCTACTACAACAACTCAACATAACTTTACCTTGTACTTTCGCTTTCAGATTATTTTTAAAAAATACCTGACACGTCGCCAATGGATATCGTTATTGTTGCTAACATTTGGTTGCATGTTAAAGCAAGTGAATCTGAACAGCTTATATGGAGACACAAATGATGATAGCGAAGCCGCTGCAGTACAACAAGTCAGTTTGGGTAGTACGACTACTGCAGCACTGAAGGTGAGCGGAAAAAACATGTCTGGCTTCGATTTTAGTTTAAGTGCACTCCTAATATTAGCGCAAACAGTATTTTCCTGCCTTGCTGGAGTTTATAATGAATATTTGTTAAAGGATAAAGGTGCTGATGTGAATATATTTGTACAGAACGTTTTTATGTATATAGATTCGATAGTATGCAATTTTCTGATATTATTTTTAAAAGGGCAATTGGTTGGCGCATTTACGGCGGAAAATATGCGCGCTATTTTTCGATTTAATGTAATAATAATCATAGTTAACAACGCAGCCATTGGTATTGTTACAAGTTTCTTTTTAAAATACATGAACTCTATTGTAAAGACTTTTGCAAGCGCCTTGGAGTTACTATTCACAGCCATACTCTGCTATTTTCTTTTCGCCATACCTATTTATATAAATACCGCGCTTGCTATTGGTGTAGTATCTTTTGCAATATACCTATATACACAGAGTCCTGTAGTTAATACAGGCAAAGTACGCCCACTAAGTACTATAAGCGAGGCTACACTAACAACTCAAGATAAACGAAAGTTGTTAGATTCTGATGGTGATACGGATCTAGAGATGGATATAGTGTAGCAGGTATGATTATTTTACCTAACACCATATAGTGTAATGTACTGGTATGCACACTTTGAAAATGGCCAGTGACAGCCCTTAATTTAGGTTATGATTATAAAATAAGATATTTTTTAGTTTTATATTTGGATATGAATGTGCAAGTTATAAGGAAACAAATTGAATGGCTTTAAATATGTATATTACGGGTGGGTTATTATACCAATGGTCATCTTAAACATTTCTTAAAGAAAAATACGATAATTTATATATTATATTGACCAAATAAAATATTTTCAAAATACCACAACAGCTATATATTATTAAAATGTACGGCATTGATATTTTAAAATTTATGTAGGCGCTGAAATTTTTAGCATCCGAATTAAATGTTTTCTTTTATTTTGTAATCCCAGATGCGAAATTACAAAAATCAAACCCAAATACCGCATTAAATATTAAGAACTACCTACTACCGGATTGAAAAAATTTTTTTTAATCATGCATATAGTAAATAAGAATTTAAAAATAATTAGCTTTAGTTAACATTTGTTCGCGTTCAATTAAATCAAAAAGTAATATTTTCAATTTTTAGTCCCAAACATCTTGAATTTAAAAATTAAAATTTAATTTTTAATGACAACATTATTGATTAGGAAATCAAAATTTTATTTTTAGTCCAAAATTTTTGAATAAAAAAATTCGCAATCCTGCTCCCAAATATCACTTGTTTTTATTCAATATAATACAAAAATTCAAAAATCACATCTGTAAATCTACACCTGTCGTCTGTAGCATACAGCTAACCTTTCAAACTCAGAAGTATGAAACTGGAAATAGTCACGACATCCTTCCAAGTGCGCTTCCATTGTTCCCATTGGTACCAAATGTGTTGCATTATACATACATTGATCCAAAGGAGGTCCACGATAGTTTTTGCGGCACTTCATCATATGGCCCGGCATACGGAAACGGATAATTCGATGCGAATTGTTGTAGGGGCACAAAATAAACTCTTCCTCATTCATTTTGGTTAAAAAGTTTTTTCTTAATTTAAAAAGAAATATAAATGTTTGAAAACCAAAATGGGCTACTAAAGGTAAAATTTAAGAAGGACGCGCGGTTTGCACTTCAAATCAGCTGTTGTCTTACACAGAGTTGCCAAGTTATTACGAATTTATTTACACCAGTGCTACTAGTTTTGTGTATTAAATGTATATGTTCGAAAACAAATGGAAATGCCCTTTTTATACCCTTAACAGGGTTTATTAAATTTGTCACGAAGATTATTACATCCAGAAGGTAACGTCGGAGGTCCTATAAAATATATATATAAATGATCAGCATGACGAGCTGAGTCGATGTAGCCATGTCCGTATGTCTGTCTGTATATACGGTCCCTCAGTTTATGAGATATCGATTTGAAATAGTGCACAAGTCTTTTTCTCAAATGTTGCAACCACTATAGCATATAACTAGCACACAACCTGATCTATCGAAATCCAGTCCTTGTATGAAAACTTGTTTTTTCACAAAATGTTTTAACGAAAGCGTGGATTATTGTCCAGACAACGGTTCAATCTCGAAGAAATTGTTCAGATCGGACCATTACATCATATATCAGCCATACAAACTGATCAATCAAAATCAGGATTTAAATCCTTTTACGCTATAAGAGACGCGCCCGTAAATGATATAATAGCTTCAGTGCAGGCGAAGTAAAATTTTTGTTTATAAATGAAAATACTGCATGTCAGCTTTGTTCGATATTAATTGTATATTTATGGGAACTTCCTATACGATTACAAAGTAGTTTACGAATTTCTAAAGCTGAACAATTAATTTGTAAAGCGATTTGTTTCATATACAAATGCCAATTTTATAATATTTTTTGTTGTTGTTTCCGCAAATAAGTGTATCTATTTAGTGTCCTTGGCCTCCTTAGCATTTTGTAATGATTGTGTAATAAAAAGTTTGGCCAAAGATTGCGAGCAAAATTGTGATATATGTTGGGAATAGGTATTAATTTGTCCCGAATTAATGGTTGCATTAAGTCTAGGTGGAACTGGAAGTGGGCGGAACTGCTTAAGAACTTCCTCTTCTGGAATCGGTGATTCGCCCTTGGCACTTCGCAAGACGTTCTCTGCTGCTTGTTTTGCTAGAGCACGGTGTTTCTCCTATTGAAGAAATTCATATGAAAATTTTTTTCTGTGTATGCTTCATTTAATTACCGTTTCTTGTTTGAATACTACTTGTTGATATTTGTTGTAGCGTATTGACTCTTGGTATAGTTCATCAACACGTTCGATTAAGCAACGCATGTGATTTTCCAAAACTGAGGCTGTACCTAAGTCCAAAAAGTTTTGACCCTGCTCTTCCGGCAACATTTCACCCAACTCACTCATCATAATATTGGTGAGGGGAGAATTTTTGATAACGATTGGTATCTCAACAAAGAGGCTTTCATAGCCAACCTTCAAGTTGCGCAGTGCATCAGGTGTAAAATCTCCATCTTTATACATTTGAATGGCTTGTGGAGTTAATCTATAGGCCTTTAAGCAGAGAAAACCACGGCCAGACTTTTGCGTATCGTAAATGACGACAACAGATTCCTCTATGCTAGTTTGGTAATGATATTGTGATTCCAGCAAAGCCATGGATAAGAAATTTCCAACATCTGAGCTCTGATACCAGCCAACATGAAAATGATCGACATTTACACGTCTTAAACGGCGCATCATAGTTAACTGATACATTTCTTCATCCATTGTTTCATCGCCGCTTTTCGGGAAAGGGAAGCAGTTGGTAATTTCTAAACATTTGTCTACGACCAAACCCAGCAAGGCACCTTGAGCCAAATCCATATTGCTTGACTCTTCATGGCAATGTTTCACCATTTTCATCACGGCCTAAAAGTAAAATGCATCAGAAAATGGTAAAACACGTATCAAAACAAAATCTCTACACAATATTGGCAACACTAAAATACGCTGTCACCGCCCGCAAAAGCAAACGTGTAAAATTTTGACATTACTACAGCTATATGCCTCACTTTCTCATCTTTTTTAAGCGAAACTTAATGGGTTTCCTAGCGATTTCAAGCTTACAATGCAGGCAATAGTTTCTTTTCCATATTTCCACTTACCAATCCATCGCATTGCACGTAATTAATGGTATTATCCACTTCTTCTTGACGACCACGATTACCACCACGGCTTGCCATTTTTATGTCAAATGCAAATGAAAGGAAAAAATAAAATACATATTTGTCGCGAGCTTGGATGTGGTTTCACAAAAAATATCCACAGTGCTGCCAATTTGCGGTTTATCTAAAACTTGCCCGATAGCCTTTTAATAAGTTCTCCTATAAAATTCAGTGGCGCTAAAACTGCAGTGTTATGATCAAAATGAGTCTGTTTTTGATTTACACAAGTCTTGCTCCCCTCGGTATATCCACGAAGAACATATTTCTATACATTTTGTTGAATTTGCTGTACATGGGCCAGTATTAAAGACTTTGAAAATGGTTAAAAGTGGAAAAAATTCATAGTAGGTTGAAACACATTGGAAAAGGAATATAAAATAAAATAAAATGTAATTTACGGATGAACTGTGGTCCAGAAGGGGAAGGGGTCGGGCATAATTAAGTTTTTAAGGGTTAAAAACGATTTATCTCGATTTCCACCAAACTACAAGTTTTATTGAAAAAAGTTATATGGAAAATATGTATGTAAAAAAAAGATCTTACATCTTTTGCATTAAAACCATTTTCGCATAACCTCAAAATGTTTGTGAAAAATTTATGTAACTAAGTTTTTGGGTTTTTATTTTCATCTTAAACAAACAATTTTTTATTTCTCGAAATTTGGTGTGGACTTACTCTTGTATGACCCAATGACGCGATGGCCGGTTTAGAACACGACAAGTAGCCGGAATTTTTTTCTTGGGAGATTGATTACATGTTCAAACCTGCTGAAGTCGTAACTACCCATTAGCGACCTGGCATGGCGCATGCCTTGGGGCTGTTGCGAATGTGTCTCTCTGCCTAGTCTTTCCTACGAATCAGTTCCTTTATGGTATAAGGACCAACCACGATGTACGGTTCGGGTCCTACCATTCTGGTGAAAGCTGCAGAGCGGGCACTCAAATAAGGTGCACTTGGTTGCTACTTGATAGGCTGTTTAGCCGTTCTATACACTTCTGCACTAGTAGCGATTTAACCTCACAAGCAGAGAACGCTTATAGTGCCGTTTGACTATCGCTGAGTATGGCATTACTTTCATTACATAATTGCGTTGGATGTTTATCTCTACACACTGACTGATACCATAGACTTTCGCTTGGAAGATGCTTGGAAAACTTCCCATGGGAATGGAGAGCTTGGTGCGTGGTCCTGCAACTCCTACACCAATCCCTTCCCACGTTCTAGAGCCATCGGCATACCACTTGATAGTGCTTTCCCTTAGCAGTAGGTCCAGCGTGGAATCATTCCATTTCGCATTATAAAAAAAATCGCCTTAGTAAAAATAATATTCGTGTGGTAATTCCGAAATAGCCATCTGAGATAGCATAAGCTCTCAAAGTGAATCATGTGCGTCAAACGTCTGGGACTCCCAATTATCAGCCTGATGTACAGAATCTGAAAAAACCCTACGACACAAAACACGTAAGGTTCACTTCAATATTTTTACTCTTAACAGGGTATATTAAGTTCGCCACGAAGTTTGTAACATCCGAAGGAAACGTCGGAGACCCTATAAAATGTATATATTTATATACATATATAAATCTTCTGTACGTGTGTTTGTAATTGAACTTCTTCTAAACGGCTAGACCGTTTCTGATGAAATTTTGTGTGTGTATTCAAGGGGGTTTGAGAATGGTTTAGATTCACAATTCGATCAACTAGATAATGTTTTAGCAATGAATTTATTTATTTATAAATTGTTGTTGATGTTAGAACTTTTACATACAAGTAGAATTCCGGCAGAATGCGCTGCAGTCGTGTAAGATATTCAAAAGTATATTTGAGTTTCAGTTGCGCCTGGTAGATGACGCTGAGCTCAGATTCTAAGATTGCATAAGTATAGTTTAAACTAGGAAGGCTATAGACATGTTAAAATGTGTCTAAACATTCATACTGCTATGCTACTCTATACGATACATAAAGGATAGTTCGGCTGAACACATTTGTTACTTTACTATTTATTTTGAAATTTGTTACTGTTTCGAAGTACATATATTACATAATTCTTCATAAAATTTTCCTAACCTATATAACTATCCTAACACGTCTGTCGGGTCTGCTAGTACATATATATGTATAAAAGATCAGCGTTTTAGCCATGTCCATGCCTCTGTCTGTCGGTATATACGGGAACTAGTCCCCACTTTATTATATCGATCTAGAACTTTGCATACGTCATTTTCTCTCCAAGAAGCTACTCACTTGTCGGATATCGGACAACTATAGCATATAGCTGCCATACAAACTAAACGATCAAAATCAAATACTTGTATGGAAACTTTTTTATTTGTGAATTATTGTATACTAGGTGTACCTGGGATTCCCTGCTATGCCCTTTTTCATACTCTCAACATGTTGCTATATAGTATAATAGGTTTGTTTTGTTGTTTGTATCCCCTAAATCTAATCGAGATAGATATGGAGTTATATATAAGTATAAACGATCTGGATGACGGCATGAGTTCAAATCTGTCCGCCCTAATGAAATCTTCGTTAAATCTATATTTTATGCGTTACTTTCAAATCAACCAATTTCAACGAAATTATGTTTATAACATTATTCTGACATTCCCATATTAAGGTGCGCAAATTGGATCTGCAATCTCGCCTACTTCTCATATAAAACAATTTTAAATTTCTGTCACTTCACCGTATAGAAATTGAGAGCCAATAGAGATATCGGGTTAAAACTTTGCAAAAATAGTGCCATTTAGATGTGCCATTCACCTTGTTCAAAAATTACGTGCAGTAGCTATGTTATGTGTTGTTATTTTATTTTTTTAAGTGAAAAACATTTAAATAATTCTGACATGCATTTTGAACACATGTTTATGATTTGAAATGCATATTATTTTTTTATATATGAAATGTCTTGACTTTTAACATAAAAAGATAAAAATTATCTATGTCCGTACCCTGGTTCTAGGCTACCTCCCCACCAAATTACATCCAAATTGGTTCAGCTGTTCTTGAGTTATAAATAGTGTAACTAACACGACTAACATAGATTGCAAAATCTACAGTGATTTTGAAAAAAAGGCCTTATCACTTTATTTTTATACTGCTGTTGGGTTTAAATAGTCTCTGCCTGTGACCAAAGCAACAGTTTCATTCTGCTACTAGTGACAGATCCCCAAACATGAAGACTAGCGTCATTACAAGTATTTTTCTTGTTGTTTACAGCTTTTTGCTGTTCGACGCCCCATCAGCTCTCCCCTTGGCCGATTCGGAAATTGTATCCGACGATGCCATTCTGAGCGATCCAGTTCCAGCTCAGGACCCTAGAAAAGAAATTACCATTGATGCTTCCATTCAGGCCAACGCTCATGTAGTGGTTCCGGAATCAGTTGCCGAGAAGCTTGTACAAATTATGGTGGAGGCTTTCAATACTCAGAAGTCTGGAAAAGTCAAAAGGCCGCAAAGTCCCAGTAAGCTCATAACCTGTGATTTATTGCCTCTGGTTGGTTCAAAACTTTGTGTGCTGTCCATTGTATTGCTTTGGGACACCGCAGTGGCTACTGCAATGGAAGATCTATCTGCCAATGTCGTGATTAAGAGCTGAAATTTGAAAGATAGAATTGCGAATAAGGATTGGACTTCGACTGATTATTACATAATTACATTTAATACCATTAAAATATGGCATTTCTGTGTGTTCAAATACAAGTCAATGAATTGTTTTAGTTCCGGCGATCGATAACTAACAAGTGCTCCATTTATTTAGTTTATATTATCAAGTGGATACACTTATTTATTTATATCTCATTTTGAAGCACCTTAACCTTCACTATATGATAACAAACTATGTATGGATGTACAAGTTTATATATGTATGTATGTATGTAAATGTTAGTGTATTATTTGGACTTTAAAAGCCACAACCCGTTGCACAATGAATCAGTTTGGCCTGATAGCGACTTCTAAAAACATGAAAATTATCATTATTATTTCTGCTGTGCTTTGTAGCTTTTTGCTGTTTCACAGCACAAGGGCTTTGCAACCCTTTGATACGCAAATATACTCTGATCACGTGGAACAACCAAAAGACCTTAAAGAAAATAATGGTGACATTACAATAGATGGCTCTATTGAATCCAGTGCACTCATCGAAGTTCCGGAGTCGGTAGCCAAGGATTTATTAAAAGTTATGGTCGAAGCTTTTCAACACATGCAAATTTCTAGCGACGAAACTGTTGAAGTCCATGTTAATACTGTTGAAGAGGAACCTGCAAGCGTAGCGAGTGAAGCGCAAAACCGTGCCTCTTGTGACTCAGGGTACTGTAATATGTACTGTCTTTCGATAGGACGCCACGGTGGATATTGCAGCGTTTGGTCGGCATGTTTGTGCGTATAACGCATATAGAATTTAAAAAGTATATGTATATTTAAGAACAAAGCAAGTTATAGTGAATTTCACAATATTTTTATACTCTCGCAACATGTTGCTACAGATTATAGTAATTTTGTTCACCAAACAGTTATTTGCATCACCTATGTGGATATACCATAGAGTTATACTTAGTTCTGCCAGAAGTTCTGTTACAAGTTCAGGCCGTTATTAAAATGAAACGATAATATCTTTTTTAATAGAATTAATTTTACTTGATAACACTGATCTACAGTGGTTTTGTTGCCCTGGATATTAGATCGATTTTGGCTATTTACGAAACTATCAGTGATTTTGTAAGATTTACTCTCCTTTATTTTAAACCTTTATTTTCATTTACATATATTTACCATGCCAATTATGTTTTGAAAAATAAGGATACATCCAAGTAAGAGAGAGAAAAACGTCGAAAACATATGTTATACAGTGTCTACCAATAGGGATGACGTGATTTTGACAGCTCGTGGTGTCCATGATTTTTTACGGACTTATATAAAACTTTGTCCGTGTGTTCAGTAAGGTTTGTCATTTCATCGTGTTGTGTTTCACTTTGGTACAAAGCTTGGAAATTGTCCAAAATTATTACGCAAATTCACGTTCTCTGCTGCCTACTGTAAAATGAAAAATCATCTTCTCAGATAAGGTCCATTTCTGGCTTAATGGTTTCGTCAACGAACAAAACTGTCGCTATTGAGGTGAGTCAAATTCTCGTGAGTTTAACGAAATTGACCGTTTGGTGCGGATTGTGGTATGGTGGCATCATCGGGCCTTATTCCTTTCGAAATGGGACAGGAAATTCCGTTACCATCAATAGCGAGCTGTAACACGATGTAGACCATGGACGATCTCTACTTCCAACAAGATAGTGCGCCGTGATTGTTTCACGTCTGAACATGGACTCATTGCGTGCAATATTTGGCGACTTGTTCATTTCGAGAAATGGCCCAGTCAAATTGCCACCAAGATCATGCGATTTAACGCCCCTATATTATTTTCTCTGGGTGTATGTTAAATAAAAGGCTTAAGCCAAGCCAACGTTGCAGCCGAAATGCTGCATCGAGCCATCGAAAATTGCCGGAAACGGGTAGAGATATGCAAACGGAGCCATGGTAGCCATTTGACCGACATTTTGTTGAAATCATAAACGGCATAAAATTATCTGCATAACAAGAAAACAGAACCCATTTTGACCAAATTTGAGTGTTTTATTTAATTTCAACCCTATATTTCAATATTATTATATATTCTTTTATGAAAATTTCTTTAATAATTTTCCAGTTGACAATCTTTTTTAAGGAACAGCAGTAATCTGTCATCGTGTGACGATGCTATCAATTTTAATACCTTTCTTCCTCACTATAATTTTCTAAATTTTCAAAAATTAACGCATATATCACCTAGAGTCTGAAAGCTATTCAACATATTTTTCACATTTTCTTTAATATTTGGTGCTTTATGTCATTGTAGTCTTGGATTTCCTATCAGTACAAAACATTTTCGCACTTCAATAGGAACAGTCATAACCTTAATAAAATTTTTCATTAATTTTCTAAATTTCAACCTTTCAATACTAAGCTTTGGGAGCTTTGTATAAATGAAGTTAAAACAATACCTTTCCACGTCCCAAGCTTTGACAAATTGCTTTATCATTCCTTACTTGATCACGTATTAAATCACTTGAGCTGATTTTGAGAAAACAATTTTGGTATAAATGTGTCACACTTCCATTCAATTCCACTGGTACAGATTTATGGTAGAGCGTAAGCCTACAACTTATCTCCACGTTCGATTTTCATTAAAATCTCCCACATATTTTTCGCATATTTTTGGTAAGGAGCATGAGAGTGGGGATCACGTCATTTCTAAGCGCGACAAAGGTGCTCAGAAGGCTAATCATGACTGGAAAAATAAATTTTATGACTGACAAGTAAGTAAGCGCTAAGTTCGGGTATAACCGAACATTTGATACTCTTGCAACCTGCAGGGACCAAAGCCGCTGAAATAAATACCTTCAGGTGTTGGCAAGACTATATATTAAACAATGTTGCGAAAAGGTTCAACTTCATTGTGTGACGAAATCGTAAATGGATTGAAATCATATTAACTTATTTTGAAGGTCATAGATTCAGTTTTATTACTATATTTTAGTAAATTATACTAAAATCATACTCAAATGAGATATATGGTATGAGATATATAATCGTAGTGCTAAATTTAATATATTAAGTTAGTGTGAAAAACGGCAACCAAAGGATCGGAATTCATATATTGGGGATATAAGGTTTAGACCAATATTAATTTAATTTATATTGAGCGCCAAGCCAATAATATAGTTTAACAACTTTTAAGAAAACGTGTCCACTTAATTTCATTAAAATATCACACGTTTTGGCCAACCTAATCGGTTAAAAGTCAGGTGGATATTCGGAAATCATTATATAGGATATATTGTGGACAGAGAAATGGAACGGTTGATTGCTTAGGTATACTTGAGAACTCATTTTCAAGCCATTTTATAAATATATAAATATAAACATATACATAGAGTAAAGTAATCCGCACGTTTCAAAATCCAGAATATCAGTTATGAGGTGCCCTTTGCTAATGCGATTCCCTTTGCCAAATTACATTTTTACACTAAATTTAGTACTTAGCTATAGATAAATCACCACCGACCTTCAGATAAAATCCTATTTCTAAAGAACTACTAGACCAAATCTGGTATGTCACATTATCGTGAGGTGATTACGGTGTGAAAATTTGCGAAATCGAACAACAACCACGCCTATTTCGCATATTCGAAAATTATTTATTCTATCTACCATAATTCTTTCACTTTCCAGCATACAAAATAGTGCCTTTGAGGTAGGCCGCCTCACGTCTAAAACTGTCAAAATCGGATTGTTTAAGCTTCCAGAAACCGAATGTGGGGACCCCGGAAAATATAGGTAAATCTGTGAGATATGTTATTGAAATTCGGAAAAAGCCTTTTCCTTATAATAGTTTGATTCTCTATCGGGTCAATACTTCCTTTAGCGTCTGCATACCTAATATAAAGATTTTCGAACTTCTGGTTGAGTTTATACTATATATGTCGGTCAATATGTAAGATATCGTAATGAAATTCATAGAGAATATATTTTTAATAACAGTGTATCCTTGTGCCTATATGAATAAAATTGTGTCAATATATCCCCTAACTCCCAAATACCTTATATAAGAAATTCAAACTTTTGGTTGGCTTTATACTTTATATAATATATATGTGTGTACGTTTAAAGTGAACCTTTAATACTGAATATACAATAGTTTACTACCGAAAATGTGTGAAATCGGTTCTTGGTCCCCAGCTCCCGAATATGTCAGATAATGTGTTAGTTATCTTAATAAAATTGCGTGAAAACATCTTCTCCAGTATAATTGAAAGTTAATAGAATCTGCCCATATACCCGATATAGTGAATTTTAATTTTCCAGCTGACTGGAAACCGTTTCTGTTAGTCAATATAATTATGTATATATGTGATATTTCAATAAATTTTATTTAAGTAGACACTTTTATCTAAATATAATGTGGTTTAACGCTAAATAATATATACATTTCCGACTATCTGGTTGACTCCTTCCTCTTTTACCCAATATATTCAATTTATCAGATACTATATATAATTATTTTCGCTATTCTAGTGAATGTTGTTTTGCTCCGGAGGTTATTTTTTTGCGCATCCCTGTTCTAGTGGACCGAATATACCGATCAAGGTGTGAGTTGTCTTAATAAAATCGGATAACATCGCCCTTATACTTTTAAATAGTGTAAAACTGGGCCAAATTGAACACAACCATATTTTCGAATATACATAATGACTTTTGGTCCTCTGATTGACTTTTTCCTCACTCATAGTAATGAAATTAAGTAGTTTACATATATATGGGTCATATCTGTACCACAGCACATCGGCTTTGCAACCCTTTGATTCCGAAATAGACTCTGCCCTTTTGAAACAATCAATAGGTCTTAAAGAAAATCATGGTGACAATACAATCAATGGCTCAATTAAATGCAGTGCACATATCGAAGTTCCGAAAAGACAAGGATTTAATAAATGCTATGGTCGAAGCTTTTCAAAATATGAATGTTTCTAGGAAAATAACTACTGCAACATATAGCTGACCGATCAAAATCAAGTTCTTGTATGGAAATTTTTTTATTTGTAAAGTGTATTATAGTTTCAGTGCAACTGAACGTAACGTTTTATCTTGATTTATTAAAATTCTAAAGACACTTGTATTGTAAGTATTTTAGTCTAAGTTTAAAGTGCTAACTTGGGTAATGTTTTAGTTCCTTCACTTTGAAGGGTATGTGGTACATGTTCTCATACCAATATGATACAAATATTGGAATAGGCTGAGCTTCTCCCGCCAAACGTCTGATCATAGTCATTTATATAGTGTCTATAATTATTGTAAACAATTAAATACAGCAGTTAGTTGAATACATAGAAAACATCTCTACAATTGTTTAACCAGAGTGAGGTCTTCAAAATACTACTTGTAATTTACCACAATCGAGATTGATTTTAATATTTGCGTACAAGTATCTTATCACTTTATTTTTATACTGCTGTTGGGTTTAAATAGACTTTGCCTGTGACCAAAGCAACATTTTCATTCTGTTACTAGTGACAGATCCCCAAACATGAGGACTAGCGTCATTATTTTTCTTGTTGCTTACAGCTTTTTGCTGTTCGACGCCACATCAGCTCACCCTTTAGCCGATTCGGAAATTGTATCCGACGATGCCATTCTGAGCGATCCAGTTCCAGCTCAGGACCCTAGTAAAGAAATTACCATTGATGCTTCCATTCAGGCCAACGCACATGTAGTGGTTCCGGAATCAGTTGCCGAGAAGCTCGTACAAATTATGGTGGAGGCTTTCAATACTGGAAAAGTCAAAGGGCCGCAAAGTCGCAGTAAGCTCATTACCTGTGATTTATTGGAATCCTCTGGTTGGTCCAAAACTTTGTGTGCTGTCCATTGTATTGCTTTGGGACACCGCGGTGGCTACTGCAATGGAAGATCTATCTGCCAATGTCGTGATTAAGAGCTGAAATTTGAAAGATAGAATTGCGAATAAGGATTGGACTTCGACTGATTATTACATAATTACATTTAATACCATTAAAATATGGCATTTCTGTGTGTTCAAATACAAGTCAATGAATTGTTTTAGTTCCGGCGATCGATAACAAACAAGTGCTCCATTTATTTAGTTTATATTATCAAGTGGATACACTTATTTATTTATATCTCATTTTGACGCACCTTAATCTTCACTATATGATAACAAACTATGTAAATGTTAGCGTATCATTCGGACTTTAAAAGCCACAACCCGTTGCACAATCAATCAGTTTGGCCTGACAGGGACTTCTAAAAACATGAAAACTATCATTATTATTTCTGCTGTGCTTTGTAGCTTTTTGCTGTTTCACAGCACAAGGGCTTTGCAACCCTTTGATACGCAAATATACTCTGATCACGTGGAACAACCAAAAGACCTTAAAGAAAATAATGGTGACATTACAATAGATGGCTCTATTGAATCCAGTGCACTCATCGAAGTTCCGGAGTCGGTAGCCAAGGATTTATTAAAAGTTATGGTCGAAGCTTTTCAACACATGCAAATTTCTAGCGATGAAACTGTTGAAGTCCATGTTAATACTGTTGAAGAGGAACCTGCAAGCGTAGCGAGTGAAGCGCAAAACCGTGCCTCTTGTGACTCAGGGTATTGTAATATGTATTGCTATTCGTCAGGGCGCCACGGTGGATATTGCAGCATTGCATCGTCCTGTATTTGTTACTAATACTTTTATACATATGTATGTATGTAAATATATAATATTTTGAGAAAAAAAAACCCAAAAAAAATAAAGCAAGTTGTAGGATATTGACATTATTCCCGTTTAATAAATAATATTTGTAGCTTTGTAAAAATTTAACTGCGTTTTATGAGATAATTTTAACTGTCTGATTCTCGATTTCTTAAACATATGTAAAAATAATCAAATGATTCTTCTGAAACCTATAAAACTCAGATCAACACCAAAGCCATTGTTACTATTCTCGAAAGTCAAGAACGCCTGTACCCATTTTAACGGAATTTCTTTTTAGAATTTTGAATAAGCTTCTTAAGTAAAAAATTACAAAATTGTTTTATAAAGTAGGAACATAGTTCCATCGAAACCCCATGGGATCTTCTGTTGCGCAGAAATATATTAAAAAATAGAGCCAAACATAAGGACGTTAGAAAATACCTCGAGAAAATTAGTATTACCAACTATTAAAGAACGTATAATTAAAAATAAATTTGGAATAATATTTCGATAGACTTTTAAAGTAGAGTTGTCATCTACTAAGCCAAGTAAAACCGTGCAAAATACAATATTATAAAAAATATTATTTACCGACTATTTAAAAAAACAAAACAAAATAGTATTTGTATATGTTTTTATAATTTAATTTTATAATTTTGAGTTAAATATGCATTAAAATTAAAAATTAAATTAGAAAGAATATTACCAAAAGAGCTTGAGCTCGTTAGGTTCATTTGAATCTGAGGTTTTATAAAGGGTATCAGATGTAAGTTAAATACAGGTTTATTAACTTGCACCAGAGAATGTTAAAAAATAGAGAAGGCGCTAATTTAGTACTAAAATGTAAATTATTAAAAGAGAACATCGAAAATGCGCAAGTTCGAAAATAAAATTACACAACGTTAAAAAAGGAACCATCCCATCTTTATAAGGAACTGAACAAACTACAATATATCACTGTAAAAAGAAACCAAGCAAATTCGATTAATAAAAGTTTATCTGAAATAATTATGTGGCAGTGCACCCCCTGACTCCTCCTTGCCAGCGATCGTTCAACTCACTTCAACTGCTAGCAGTTCTCGCAAAAAGCAAAAGGTGAAGTAATTGTTTGTGCGGAGCAAGGAGAAGCAAGCATCAGCGTACGTGTACTTATGAATGAATGTGTAATTTTCACATATGTGTAGATCAATAAGGGAATATTCAATAAAACTAAATTTATGAACATATTTGACTGAAATATTCTAATTATTTACTATAACAGGCATCAGGTAAACAATTTATAAACACAAGTACGATTAATTTAATGCAAATATTATTTTTCAGATAATTTTTTCTGATGAGAAAAAATTTCATCTTGATGGATCAGACGGTTTCAACTATTATTGATGAACAACCTGGAGTATCACAGTGTTCTCTCTGACGGTTTGCTGCCTTATCTTGCTGAAAATTCCGACAAAAATTTCATTTTTGAACAAGATAACGCAGCAATTCATGTAAGCGGATCCACAAGACAGTGGTTTGAGGATCACAATATTGAATTTCTTGACTGGCCAACACGTTCTCCCTATATGAATGTCATTGAGACTGCTAGTACGCCAGGTGTATACCGAAAATAAACAGTACGGATCAATTGAAGAACTAAATGTGGCAATTTGCAATATTTGGTGACAAATTCGCTTTGACGTAATGTAAAACCTTATAAATTCCATGCTCAATAAATTTTATTAAACAATTGAAAATAATGGAAATTGAATAAATTAATAATAACTTAAAAATGTTACAATTGAAATCAAAATTTCGCTACCAAAATTACCGACCTTATCATTTTGTCGCAATGTATTGTGCACTTATTTAAATAAACGCACTTTTTGGTAAATCTAACGGTATCTTTCCACGTCCCAAAGCGATTTTTTATCTCTCATTTATATAAAGAATTTTTGGTATAATATGGTTATTATTTTCAAGGAATTTACGTTTGTTTATATTGTACTAACTTCGAAGTGACCTTATCATTTTGTCGCGCACCTTATTTAAACCCTCTTGTAATTTTGTAATATAATATATTAAACAATTGATTTTTGAATATTCAATATTTATTAAAAAAATAAATGTATTAGCTCTCAATTAATAAATGTTTTTAAAATTTTCAATCGAAAATTAATACTACTAAGCATTTTCATTGTTTTCCAATTTTTGTAAATGATCTTCAACAGCAGCAACAAATCTCTATTTACAATGAAAGTTAATCTTAAGCTTTGATTGCTTAAAATTGCACACTTTCTTGTTTGCTATTCATATTAAGAAAAGAAGGTTTCACGAACAAATAAATACTTTAGTTTTCCTTTAAATAATTGTTAATAACATACTTTTTAACAGTTCTTTTAGGTATAAAAATTGAAAACTTAATGAACGTTTGCGATATGTTTAGGAAAATTTCGTAAGGAGTGGTTTAAAATATTCGACTGGCTTGAAGGAGAGAAGGACATTAAATGTAGCTAAATGTAAGTGACCTCTAAGATTTATATGTACCTATTAATATTTCCAAATATGAAGTAAAATAAATCCCCACGTTTTAATGACACAAAAACATTGGTAGTTTTGCAACAGATTTGGGAGGCATTTTTGTACTCAAAGGTTTTCTTAAGTGGTAACACTGTTGCATAGAGTTTTCTTTATCGAGTTCCGTGCCCGTTTTTCGCCATAAAATCTTATGCCCCTTGATTCCAAAGACGCAAAACTTGTTCTTATCGAAAAAATATTTTTATCTGCAAAAATTCCCGTGGCTTGTTTAAGTGCTCTTTTGCGAAAGCATTATCAACTTGCCTATTGAAAAGCGATATGAATAACTTCTTGCATACGACTTGACCATAAACACTTTTTTGTTTTGTTTTTTAATTTCTCTGCAGTGCAGAAGAGCTTCCTAAAAATTTCCTTAACATTTTGAGCGATTTTGACTGCAATAAGTCGGTGCGATTTGCTTCACACTTTGCAAAACGTTACAAGTTTCACGCTCTGCCAATATTTTTGGCCGCCCTAGGCGGACCGAGATACAAAAACGCCCTTATTTTCATTACTTTTTGTATGGAAGAATGTGTTCTTCCAACAACTCGAAACTGGAAAAATACTAAATAATGCTAATACTTTCTATTTCCGAAAACGACCAGATAGTCGCGTGTATTTACGAGTTTTATATGAGGCATTTTAAAGAATGTAATTATTTGTAGAATATATACCATACCTTTTTGACTCGTAAGAATTATGCCGATTTGAACGTTTGATTAGAATTCAGTAAAATACCATATACGCCATTCCTAAAGCAATTCTAGGTAGGAAATTTTTGTCTAAACTATAATTCAAAATTTGGGTGTGTCAAATTATTCCAATTAATTAGAAGTAAAAAAAATTATAATAATAACTGCTTTATTTAATAATGACCTATATCACTAATTCCCCTCGGCTGCTATTTGTTGATTGCTTTGTTATCAAACATTTCTGAGGAGCCCACTTCAGCGTCGAATTAATGTTGACAACTGATTTCATGGAAATATTACAATAAACAATATTTTGTTTTTGATAAAAGTGTGTAAAACGAAAAACTTGAAATTTCTGTAAATACTTCATTTTAATTTAAATGTAATCTACTTTGTACTCAAGGTCACATGTCTCTGAAACGGAAAACACTTTTAAATCTACCTATTTTATATATATTGTATCTTGCTGTAAGCTGTTTATTCTTAGCAAACACTTCACTTGTACTCTGAAGAAATATCAGGTATGTATGTGTTGTGACTATTACACAATTAATGATTTATTTAAGGCTACCGTATCCACATAGTTTGGTCTGCTGCTTGATAGGTCGTTGGTTCGAAACCTGTCTGAATTATCCCGATGATAACAGTAAAGGGATTTTGCCTGAAGTCAGCCACAGTTATTTTGTTGAACCCGTCAATTTCTTTAACAGTTATCAGCGAACTCTCCTTTGGAGCAGAAACCTGGCCAAAAAATAAGCAAAGGTGTAACTGAGAAATTGATACTTTTATTTTAGTACCTCTTCAGTTACATATAATAACTCTATTTATTTGTGTCTACGAGACTTATGTATGGACACCTGTTTCTATTTAAATAGCCACAACTCATTAATAGATAAATTAGTTCTAATTACATCGGTGGCGATCAGAAGAAAACATGCAAACGGTCACTATTTTATCGGTTGTATTGTGCAGCTTTTTGCTGTTGCATGTTGCCTCAGCTATTCCAGTCGTCGAAGCTGAATTAAACGATCCACCTCAGGTTCAGCAGCCTGAAGATCCCGAAATAGTAAAAAATAAAAACAACGACATTGAGATCGATGCCTCGATTCAATCCAATGCTTATATCGAAGTTTCTGAGTCGGTGGCCCGGAATTTACTGAAGACCGTGTTTGAAGTTTTCCAAAAAATTCAGATTTCTGGCCAAACCACAGTGCAAAGCCAAGTTCATGGGCGTAATGTGAAACCGGTCAACGTACACGAAGATGCTAAACCAGAGGCTCGTGCCTTTTGTAATATAAGCGTCTGCAACTACCACTGCTTCTCATATGGCTACCGTGGCGGGTTCTGTAACATGTGGTCCACCTGTGTTTGCTATTAAAACTATTTACCGTTTATGTATTAAAAAACAATAGTAAAAATATAATACAAAGTGTTTTTTTGTTTTCATTACGAAATAATACAGAGTAATTAAATTATTTTTCGAAAAATTTCAGGACACCTCATAATATACCAATTGTCTCCAAGAAGTCGCTTTATTAAATATTATTACATTAGATTTCAATCGCAGGTTCAACGGTCAAGTACTGGTTTACTGAATTTAGTCGTATCTTTGTGAAATTTTGTTATATGATCGTAAGTTGGTAGGTAGGTAGGAGTGCAGCCACACCGGGTTCCATTAGCGCTAGATGCACCATTGTAATGCACTATGGTAAGATCTTTATAATCTTGCTATCTCATTTCATCGTTCCTTTTAAACCATTTGGTGCTCTTAATGAAACTACATACATCCGCTATGCTTTTTATAAACGGCCAGTAAAGGTTTGGTGCCTGGTGAGTTCCAAGTTCTCTGTATCGGGTTTATGACAGAGCTTGGCAGAGAAAGTGGAAAGCCGTTTCCTTATTCCTTTCTAGTTGCAGCTGCGATAAATATACTACCTGAATCTATCGAATAAGTCCTCAGTCTAGTCTTGTCATACTTGGGTCATGTCGGGTTCGTTATATTGCAATATTGTTGGTTCTTGATTTCCATATGTTCTCAGCTATTTGTTCCAAATGTCCAAAGGGGCTCCTAGATTGGCCAACTCGTATGCTTTTTGGTTGCCGAAAATGTTCCATGACCGGGAGCCCAAATAATGGATAAATGGAGTTGACCTGAAAGTGAGCTTAAAGCTTTCCTGTAATTGTGGACTACGCTGGAATTAAACTTTGGCGTCGAGAAGGCCAGCAATACAATTCGTGTATATTTCTGTTGTTTTCTGTATCCTACCGTAGTTTTTCAATATAACTCTACAAGCCCTCTCTATGCCTAGTACTTCCGCTTTAAAGATGCTGGCTGAGTTCGGTAGTAGTACACACCCCCCTATTCCGCGTCGGTATAGGTGGACGTAGTATCCCCCTCCTCTACTAAACCTCTTCTCCATTCATGTTTAGAGCAGTTGATGCAGGAGCATATTAAGCGCATAAGTCGGACATGACTTAATGGCCCATCATTAGCATATCAAGGCAATGCGGTAGTCAATATCGTAAAAACGCTTTACGCGCGATTGGTACTGCATTTTCTTAACATTGTCCAACACACAAACGTTCAGGGACAATCTGATACTGACGCGCAATAATAGCGATTTCCTGCATCAGTTCAATTTTCAGGCGGGTGAAGGGTTATTGCCCAGTGAAAGTCGTCTGAAGCGCCCGAAAACGCAACAGTCGATCGCTAAGGTTTTATCAAGCCTTTTTGGATATTCACATGGAACGATTTTCATCGACTACCTTGAACATGGTAAAACAATGAACTGGATTGACTGGACATCGAACCGCCCTGACAGAGAATAATCGCATATACTTCGCTAACAATTTCAACCAACCTCGAAATATTCACTAAAATTGACAATTACTTTCAATCTTTATCTAAAGTTTGTGGAAACGGACGTGTATTGAAAGTAAACCGTTATCAGCAACAAACGAATTCCACATATTCTCACCTACTTTTCGCTTCGCTTCTGTTTATCTTTTCTTCAATTGACTTCAGTCTATTGTATAAATCTACCTGTATGCCTCTATGTACAATGCTTTAGTCGTTCCAGCTTGAGCTTCACATTACGTGCCACAAATGTAAACAAATAACAAATTCACTAGTTCGTTTTTCTCACATCCATTATATCCACCCCCACAAATTCGTAATGCAACAAAGCCAAGAAACTCCTTATCACTTGTTTTCCACCCCTTTCTCATTGGGTTGCCCAACCACACTGCTTCCCACGACAGCTTTTCACTGCGCAACAGCAAGTCCGAGTGTCAAGAGCGCTGAGCACTCAGCATAACAACATGTGGCAAAGTGCGGTATAACGGCATCAAGAAGGCAGTAATCGTCAGTCTAACAATCGAAGTGTGGTCATTCAGTTTTTCTTCTAAGTTTGCTTATTGCATTTCATTCTAAAGTTTATTTTTCGCTTTTTAATTGCAATTTAAACAAATTGCAGAATAGTTATAAAACGCAAAAGCAAATAAACTAATTACCGAGACGAAGAGAATATGCAATGCATTCACCGATAAATGCTTTCGAATTAAATGAGCGTCTGATGACCGCTGTACAGACGGGCAACTTCCATGGCGTGCTCGATTGTCTGATGGAGGGTGCCAGGGCAACTATTGTTTCCACATCGTGTGGGCGTACAGCTGTTGGCACTGCGGCGCTAGTGGGTGATGCTGAGATCCTTGAGCTGCTGATACAATCCTGTGAAGAACCTGATTTGGATATATTTAATAGAAGTTAGTGACCAAGTACATGCATACATATGTATGTGTATATGAGTGTGTGTGTGTATAAGAAATAAAAAAATCGATATGTGCATAAGATGTAACGGTTAGGGCATTTGAACTCAGCTGTTTATTGTAATATACTCATACATTCATATCACTTAAGATGATTTGTACCGGAAGCCTCTAACACGAACGAATAAACCTACAAGTCGTACCCGAGTTCCTACTAAACGAATATAACAAAGAGAAAATGTCAATTTATATCTCGTTATCAACCACCATCACCCCCTTTATCTCATTAATCGCCGATCGTCTCAACTGCGAAAACAGTGCCCACTCCTCGTTAAAACACAAATAGAACAAGTAAGGAAGTTCGAAGTTCGGGAATTTAAATTTAGACGAAATTACTTCAGGTATTGGCAAAATTTTATATTAACGGAAGTATTGACCCGATTCAACCCATTTTTGACACAAAAACATACTCTAGTCATTAGAATTTCATTTATTTATTGTATTATATGAATTTAATTTATATATCTTACACATTGACTGACATTTTCGGTAAAAAGTCAACCATAGGCACTGGGGTCCACATATTCAGTACCTAGGGGCTTGAACAATTTTGGTTCGATTTAATCAGATGGAATTTAAAATGGTGTTATATAGAAAATAGGCGTGGTTGTAATCCGATTTCGCCCTTTTTGCCACTATATAACGAACTAATCCATGTATCTAAAAAATTTTTACAACTCAATCTATTATTTATATGTTTTTGGTACACAGACCACACAAACTCGTTTGAAATGGAAACAGAGTGCACCCCGGACGGCATGGATAACCTTGAGTGGGAGGATGAATTTATCGATAATTGCACTGATTGTGATCAGAGTGGTGGAGAGGATGTTGCCCAGGATGCCGAAGACACTTCCCTCTATTATTATTATGCCAAAACGTTCGAACGTACCGGTGCCATTATCACCCGCATGGATGAGCCATATGCTGTCTCCACGAATTGCGGACACCTGCAGGATGTACATCGCGTAGATGCGCTGTTGATGACACCGTTACATTATGCCGCAGCTTGTGGACACGTGGAGTGTGTGCGTGTATTACTCTCACATGGCGCCACAGTGGATGCTGTTAATAGTGACGGTTACACACCACTACATGTGGGCGTGGCCTATGTGGAAGTAGCTCACATGCTGCTGAAACATGGCGCCAATCCGAATTTAAAGACGCTCAACACCGGTGAAACAGCGCTACATTTGGCTATAAGGAATCATGCCGTGGCAGTGGTAAGCTCATCGTTACCAAACAATTCATATGTATAATTTTGGATAATAAAAAAATGCTGTCGTTTCAGGCCAATGTTATTTTACAAACAAATATGAATATCAACGAAACGGATGACATCGATCAGACGCCGCTGATGTGCGCCATAGTAGCTAATCTGGACGGGCTTGCGGCGACACTAATCGAACGCAGCGCACGCATCAATCTGCAGGACAAGGAGGGGCGCAACGCACTCTACTATGCGGTGGTGCAGAATAATGTGCCGCTCACAGTGCGCTTGTTGCAACGTGGCGCACGGCGCATCACTTCTCATTATCTGTTGCACCATTGCGTACGCTACAGCATGCACGAGATGGCTGAGACGTTAATCAACCATGGCGATAGCTTGAATGTGCGCAACAGGGATGGCCTCACACCCATTCTGATCGCGATACTCAGCCAAAAGATCGATATGCTGGAATTCTTGCTGCGCGTGGCCACGGCACAACAATCACAGGGTATCACGATAGTCGACACTGTCGAGAACGAGTTGCTCATCGCCGTGCAATATATAGATACAGTACAGGACTTCGTACCCATTGCGCGCATATTGTTCGCACATAGTAAGGGTCGTTGGATGTGTGCTTCGTTTACTTCGTTGTCTTGGTCGTGTTACATTCCCTATTGCCAGACGCCTCTGGCGCGCGCTGTAATGCTCAACAAATTCGATATCGCCGAGTTTTTAGTCAAAGAGGGAGTGGACATAACACAGGTGTGTGGCGACCATGGGATTAATCATTTGCGCGCTACAAATGGGTCGGGTGCTTTGGAGTTCGCCAAGTTGCTGGGTGAGAGAATAATTTCAAGTTTAAATGAAAAATAGCTTTATTTTATTTTCCCTAGTTCATACTGGCTACAAATTCCCTATCCAGCGTCCCGAAATACCCAATAAATGGACCGGTGAGCGACGTCACTTCGAAATGGAAATGTTTCGCTTGTGCAGCACACCCTTGTCGCTGCAATCACTATGTCGGATTGTGATAAGGAATCAACTTATAGGCCTGCTCAGTCGTTCGGCCGTGATGAGACAACGATACTCAACAACGAAGCCCGAATCGAGTTTGAATCGTATGATAAGTTTTTTGGGTGTACCGAAGATACTTCAAAAGTATTTATACGAGTTCGATGACTGCGCGTCTGTGATGAAAAATACCTGTAATGTGGATGGCGGTGGTTAGCAAGTTAAGTAAGGCTGTTATATAGGTTTAAGTGGATAGTTTATAACGTTTATCTAGGGTTAAGATACATTTGCACACAAAAGTATTGCGTTGATGATCGAATGAATTATTTGGCTCAGCATGTGTGTAGTACCCATATTTAACATTCCTAAGAGCCATGAACTAAAAGAGTTAGATAAAAGGTACACTTAAACTAAAAATAATTTAGAATGAGTTAAATGGTCGCTTTTCCAAGTTTATTCCGAAATATTAGTGTATTCATGTATTAATATTGTAAGTTCCAAATCTGCCTTCCAGTCAACAGATGTTATTTCTCGATCACCATACACTATGCAATGTTAAAGTATGGCGGTTATTTACGGGGGTTACTCGTTAATTACGGGGGTTAGGTGTAGTCAGAGACATGAAAAAATTACACTTTTCAACAATTATTTTTTTTTGCCAGTAAATTATTGATTTGACAGAAGTTCGAAAAAATAAACTAGTAACTTTAAATGTAATGGCTGTTTGTGTTGATCCAGTTCCAACCGAAGCTCCTACCGGTGACCATCTCTAATCCTTGAAGATTCAATTTTTTTTTTAAATTAACAAAATGGCGGCCTCAGAAAAACTTTTGAAGACTTTCGGGAAATTCTCAACAGTTAATTGTTTATAAAAAATCGAAATGAAAAAAAGATCAGGCACTAGTTGTTCATGTTTTCAAAAATCTGTATGAATTTCATTGAAATCTGCTGTGAGGATTTCGATCTACAGTGGTCACAGAGCTAAAAAAAAATCAAAGTTTTGAAAAAAACGCATTTGAAGTTTACTTCAACTCTCTCTCTATCAAACGTTCCACCTGTAATCGAATAACTTGAAAAGTATTTATCGGACTTACTTTAAGTTTTTAGATAATACTATTTCTAAGATATTATTCTCGCAATTGAAATCCGTGAAATGACTCTTCTGCCATTAAGGTTTAAAGATCCAACGAATCATACATACTATACATACATATTTATGTACATAGTTTTAAAAAGGCATAATTACAATATAGTTAAGGTTCGGCACATTTCAAGTGTTCCTTAGGTAAACCCTTTTAACGACATAGAGGTACCCCAATTAAAGATTGCATTTGAAACTAAATGTTAACAAAAATACGAATAGTTACTTACTATGAAGTTGTTGTTCTACAGTAGTCACCAACACAAACGCATAGCAGAATGCAAAAGAAGAATAACATAGGTACATACGTATTTATCATTTTAAAGATTTTATATATAGATATCAAATTTTATTCGTTTTTGAAATGCATTCATGTATTTTAAAAATGATTTTTAAACTTTCTCACATCATTTATACAGTGTTTTAAGAAAAGTAAATATAAAATACAACATTTTCAATAAACTCCAACATACATACATACATACGTAGTTTGTATGTAATATATACGCATATAAATGATTACATACATGATACAAGCTCAATAGGTGCAACAAACACATAATTCCAACCTCATCACATTAATAAGATAGTAGCGTGTAGTTAAAAATATATTATAGAATATACATACGAGTAATATAAAGTTGTAGTTTAATTAATAAACAAATAATAATAGTCAACAGGTGAGCAAATGCAACGTTTATAAGGCCAAAGTTCCAATTAAGCAATCGAGTCAATAAAATATTGCAATACTTTGAAATCCAAATATCTAAAATGCCAAACTTTTATTCCAAACATGTTTTCAAAACAAATGTATTTGAATTCCTAAATAAAATGCAGTTTTCTTATATTGTAAACTAATAAAATACTACATTACAGATTAAATACACATATACATATATGTATATATGTTCATCAAAATGCTCCACACATTTGTGAATACATATCGAAATCAATGTACGAGTATGCCTGTGTAAAAATGCAGCTAAGATTTTGCTTTTGGGTGTTTGATTGATACTTTTTTCAACTAATTATGCTTCTGTCGTAATTTATGTTTGCTTTAGATACTTTGTATGTTCTTTCACTTTGACTCTAAGACTTAAGCAATATTTTGAAATCATCGTTGGCATTCTCCATTATATATTCATAGGGGATTTTTTCTTTCTTATCCTTGATTTTCTTCAATTTCGGATCATGTTCCAACAAAAATTTACAAACATCCAAGTGTCCACGTATAGCAGCTCGATGAAGCGCAGTCTGTCCGTATTCATCCTGCAACTGGAGATTAGCTTTGGCTCCAACCAGTAATTTCACAACATTTAGATGACCTAAAACACCAACGCAAAATTTCTTCAATATTCCAATTAATTGAGTACAATAAATATAATTACCCATCATGGCAGCGCGATGCAAGGCTGTAGCGCCCGCCTTGGTAATGGCATCCACATCAGCTTTGCCATCTTCGATTAACATTTTGCATATTTCTACGTTGCCATTGCGTGCTGCATAATGAAGCGCAGTGTAATCAAAATCATCGCGGTCCATGGATTTGCCGCGGCCAATAAAACTGCGCACGCGCTCCGGCTCATTGTAGATGGCTGCAGGGAAAAAAATTAAACGATAAAAGTAGATAATAAACGATATCAACCTGCAAATTCACAAGTGAGCTTTCACTATACCCTGAACTGGGTATATTAAATTTGCCAACACCCCGAAGCAAAAGTCGAAGCTCCTATAAAATATATATACAAATTATGAGCATGACGAGCTGAGTCGATTAAGACATGTTTCTTCCCAAAAAGCTGTTCATTTGTCGGAACTGCCGATATCGGAGCACTTTAGCATATAGCTGCCATACAAACTGAACGATTAAATACATGTCTTTGTATGGAAAACTTTTTTTTTTGACGAGATATCTTCGAAATTTAGCATGGATTATTAACCAAGGCAACAGTAAATCTCCGAAGAAACTGTTCAGATCGGACGACTATAGCATTTAACTGACATACAAACTAATCGATCCAAATAAAGATAAAGATCTTTTTAAACCATTTAATGCTATAAGAAATTCACCTGTGAAGTGTATTCCAGCTTCGGTGCAACCGAAGTTAACATTTTTGTTTTTGTTTTGGAATACTTTAGTTAATATTATCCAAAAATTGTTAAGGCTTTAGTTTGATTTTCGTTTAATCGCACCTGCATTCCAAATTCCACGATCAAATTCCATATCAGTTAGCGTTTGTTGTGCTGGCGCCGCCTGCTTGTGACACTTGCAGTGATCCGCGTCATGTTGATCCATTTTTACTAAATGTTTATAATTTTACTTTTGAAGTTCTTTTGAATTTTGTTCGGTTATATGTATGTATATTTCTAATGTGTGTTTTTCAATGTTTATGAGTTGAACCAATTTGCGTACTTAATTTCGCTTTTAGCTAAATGATTGAGAAATTCAACACTTATTTTTTGGGTTTTGGAAAATAGTTGTTTTTTTTTAACTCCTAACAAAGAAAAATAAAATGTTTACAATTTTCTTAAACTTTTAGTTTTTATACGTATGTTTTTAGTATTAATATTTGTTGAATACACTAGATATTTTCATTATTCCTTTTGTATAGCATAGCATTTATGTAAATCTGTCGGTTTTGTCTTTTTGTTAACAGTTAAATTTGCAAATTTCAATAAGTATTAAACTTTAGTTGTTCGGCTGTCATGCTACGAAGGGTGGTTTAAATTTCGCGTTGCATAGTCCAACTGATCTCCGCCTCACCACAACTACAAATCACTTTATAGCTCAATTGCGCCAATGTGTTTACCATATCCATGGGTGGAATCGTTACCATTACACCATTTACGGCACCTTTTAAACCGTTACCGAAACGTTTTGACAACGCTTGGATTTCCGTATCGTTAAGACCGAACACGGCGCATGAGCGATCGTGCAGCGAACCCTTCACCGTCACATATGTGTAGTTCTCTTCGTTTTGTACAATGGGTACGGGTATGGTAACAACATTCGCTACCGAATTCGGCACGGAGTTTGTTGAAGTCGCCGTCTGGGCAGCCACCGATGATGTAGCTGTGGTGGTGACATAATTAACGGCCGCTGCGGCAGCACCGACATTGGTGTTCGGGTTGCTAGGGGCGGGTTGCGCTTCGGCGGGCACCGGTTGTGCGGGCGCTTGTGTTGGTATTTGGGCGTCCATTTGTTTCGTTAGCTTTTGTTCAACTTGTCACTATCCTTAGGTTGGTGGAAAATTTAGTTTAAATGCAATTTAATAATAAAACAAAAAATGAAGAAATGAAAAGCGTTAAATTTAATTTCTTCTAAAGATTTTTTTTTTGATTTCAACAAAATTACTTCTAAAGTATTTTGCTTTCTTTCAGTTCTATGCGCGTTTAGCACAGCGATAGCTTTTGGTATTGTTGTACCATGTAATTAGTAATATTGTTTCGATTGCACTTGTTTGTTGAATCTGATTTGATATAACTTTGTGCGCGCACTTTTTCGAGGTGCAATGTTAATTTTGCTGTTGTTGTTCAATATCTTTAGTCCACCTCCTTTTCACTTTTTGCATATGTTATTCTCGTGGCGGGGAGATCAGAGGCTAGTCACGAGCTTTCGATAGAAATCACATATAGAGATACGTATGCATGTATATTTTATGTTTACTTTATTTAATTTCTTATTCAGGCGAGTCAACTTTGTGATAGCTGCCCAAACCAGCTGCTTCGCGTCCTATATTCGAAAGATTCTCGCGCACAACGGATTCTGTTTCTAGTGGCTCTGGTTCGTGGAACTCTTTTCGCATAGTCCACATATACTCGTTGTAGTCCTGCTTAACGGATGTTGAGGAGGAAGCGACCACACGAAAACCTAAAATCTAATTATAATCGAAAATTAGTTGATTATATTAAAAGATAAAGTCAGGAAATATATTGTCTGCTTAATTGTATTGATACCATATATATTATATTAGTACATTATTATAATGTATAATATATAAGTGTAGATTAATATAAATATCAAGTTTCTAATATGTTCAATGACTCTTTTTCACAGAAGGGCATATTTTGCTACATTATTTTATTCAACTAATACCGTAAATATGGAAATATATAGGGCACCGAGGAATAATAAAAATTAAAGAAGCTATAAAATTTACATTCCAAATGGCTTAATTCTGACCAACCGAAATAAATAACTGTTTTGCCACAAATGACGGTCGTCAGCAACCACTAAATTCACATTTACATAAAAAATTAATATCCATGTAAATGACAGCGGTTTGAGTAGACTGAACTCATTAAGAATGAAATGACACACCCGTGTCCAACAAACGGAAAATTTAAACAAGTAAGGAAGGGCTAAGTTCAGGTGTAACCAAAAATTTTATACTCTCGCAACTTGCAAGAATCCGGGGAAATAATTTCAGTTGTTGGCAAAAGTGTATTTTAAAATGTTGCAAAAGAATTCAGCATTTATTATTCCACGAAAACGTGTCACATAAACTCAACCGAAAATGATAAATTTATTACATTGATGTGGAAAACATCAACCAAAGGATAGGAATTTATTATATTAGCGACATTAGGTTTGGACCAAAACTAAAGCAACTCCAATCATATTAAGCACTAAACAACATAATTTTTAAAAAAGTTTGTCCCCGTAATTTCACTAAAACATCACACATTTTGACCAACCTAAACGGTTTAAAGACAGGTGGAAAGTCGGAAATCACTATATAGGGTATATTGGGGGCAGAAAAAGGTCTGGGCTAATTGTACTAGCTTTTGACATTGTTCAGGTATACTCGTGAACATATTTTCAAGCAATTTATAAATATATAACGCATACGCTAATCGACATATTCGACATAAGGTTTGTTAGAATAACGAAAAAAGTGTATGGTAAAAACCATCCGAAGATTTGAAAATCTTTTTGGCATTACGACTACGAGGAAAGGATGCTCTTTAAATTCATTATGAATTTTAACTCGAAATTTACTTTCAAAGTTAGCCTCTAAATGTTAAAAAAAATTTTTTTTTTGCCAAAAATTTTCTTTTATTATAATTTACAAATTTGACCTTCAGCTAAGCAAAAAAAAATTTTTCGCGCCTAATGTGTATAAAGTTTTATCAAAATATCTAAATTTTTACTCAAGCAAAAGCTTGCACGGGCGGACGGACAAATAGTCATACGGATACCACAAATAGTTCATATCTGAAAGCGGGATTACAACTGGATAGATAAAATAGAGAAGTTAAAATCACGGGTAAAAATATAAAATAATAATTTAAGTAAAACTCTTTTATCGTCCGCAACCTATGTCGAACCACCAGCTCCTCATAAAATCCAAAGTCCGTTTGGACTTTACAATTTTCCATTTATCAGACAAATTTACAGATAAAAGATAAAGTTCTTAAAATATTTGCATTATGTTATGTACAAAATTGGGTAAATTATATGTACCTCAAGCGCTGATAAGATTCGACATGGATGCACTAAATAAACTATTGTTGTCTCATCACTGTAACCGCCACATGAAAATTTATTCAACTGTTCAATTTCATCCGCTGTAAAAGAATTGAAACATTAATTTTATTGTAATAGGAAAATATTACAACATTTTAAAGAAATAAAAGTGGAAATAACAAATAAATTTACATGAAAAACATCAATAATTTATGGAGCTTTCGTAAAATTATAAAAGCCAGCAAATTTGTTAGGAAACTCGTTTGTGATATTGAAAAATTAACAATAAACAACTCAAAAAGCTTTGCACAATATGGTATTAGTAAGTATAAAATATCGCGAGTGAAAGGTAAAGAATAACACGCAAAAGCAGACTTAAACAATATGATAAAGATATTCAAAGCACATCACAAGTGATGTCATCACACTGTGTGACGATTGTAATTAGCAGCATTGTGTTGGTGCTTGGCCACAACAGTAGGTCTCGATCGAATTCAGGGCGAAGGATTACCTCATCGCAGGAATCAATAAAATGTCTACATATATATTTACGTGCACAACTCAAAATTATACGACACCAGGAGTTCATTGACGTTTGGGTTAAGTAAAAATTTAGCAGCACAGTGTACTCGTATGAGTATTTATATACTATATAAACATGCAAGCAAACGGAAAATTAAGTCTAATAATTAAGTCATACACACGCACTAGCCTTCGTACTATGAACATATTCATATTACATATTATATTTGCAAAACAGGTGAATCGTCACGATCTCTTTCTAAAGTTGTTTTTTTTACCTATTTTTGTTTCGCACAAATTCCGCGGTATTACAAATGTAAAATTTGTATAGTCGACGTTATCTTTATTACACAAAAACATAAATACACTTTTGATTTCAATTGCTATATCTTTTTGCAATGTTTGCATATATGACATGCATTTCAAACAAATTTTAACTAATTAATTGGCGAGACGTACGAGTAGAATAATTCGAAGATTCGCCATTACAAATAAACAGCAAAGTAAAATTCAAATATTAAAATTTTTAGATTTTTCCACAAGTACACTGATATTACATATAAATGAATGTGTAGCTGCAGCTGCTTTCTTTACATTTACTTGGAACTAGCCAGCATATGGCACAAAATCACTAAACGACGTCCGCGCATGGAATGAAATAGCATTAAATAAAATTGAAGTGAATGCTCCTCTCTCCATTCGAATAGAGTTGGCAAGCAGTATTAAATTGTTGTTTGGCTGTGTTTTTTAATTTTTTTTTTTTTAATTTTATTTCGTGTTGATTTGTTTTGCTCATTTTCTCCTGTTCTTTGCTCATGTCATTTGCCGGCGGTGCGTCATTGAGTTTCCCATTCAGTGTATTTCAGTGCAAAATATTGCATGAATAAATACAGTATATATGAAAAAAACAAATCTTTCAATTTCAAATAAGAAAACTGTTTCTGTCTCAAAAATTTTGGATGTATAGTATTTAAATTGAATGTAAACCAAATTTTATATCACAGTTTATATTAAATAAACCGAAAAAGTAGTTCCACAAAAAATTGGAATATTCTATGTAGTATGAAAAATTCTAAAAGTTTTTAATTAAAATGGTTTCAAACCTTTACAGAATAATAAAATAATTCATATTTGACCGAATAGCTTTGGTGTTTTTTTGACAGAGTATTATACTTCCTGGAAATAGACTCTATGAGATACTAGCAACGTTTAACTGGTAAACCTTCCCAAACCTTTTTTACTAACTTCTACAAATCTCTCGAATTGGTTGGTTTTCATTCAATAACAATATTTCCATATTGGCTCTGAGGTTGAATTTTGTATTCATCTGATCACAATATATTTGGCCATTTAACCACGGGCTACAGACAAGGTTTTTTGCAAATTGTATACGCGCTTATATGTGTTTTTTTTTAGTAGCGGTACTTATCGTGGACTCTTTGTTTTGTGAAAAATGCCAACGAAGAGTCTCGATATTAACTGCCAAATTTAGTTCATCGCCGATGCTCCTGGTTGAAGCAAAATCATTAATTTTGCAGTAGTAACCTATATTGGGATCGTCTACAATGGCTATATATCTTAAGGCATATGTTATCATTTGAGCAAAATATCCTTCAGTTTCTTGTATCTCCTTAAAAATTTTTCCTAATTTTCTTATTTTTTTTTTTATCAATTCCCACTTTACCTCTGGAGAAATTTGCTGCTAGGTTATGGAACTCTAAGGGTCCCCGAGAACTAGCAAAGTAGTGTTTTACACTCAGAAAACTCTTATACCGGTTCAAGAATCGGTTTATGAGTATCTCTGAACCGCGGTTCGTTTCGGTTCAATTGGTTCAGTTTTTTATACTAATTTAATCCAAAAAACCCACACATATACATATTCATACTTACATACGTCGTGTATTATTTAACTTAAAATTTATTTTGGGGGATTTTCATTTTGAACCGAACCGAACCATTTTTTGAGTCGTTTCTAGTTCAGTTTTCGCATTTTAAAATAATAGGTTTGATTCGTGATTCGGTTCAAGGCCAGTAAAAAGAGACGGTTCGGTTCGAAAACCGGTTTGCAGCCCTGTTTTAAAGTCATGTTATGTGTACCGCTATTGTGCCTTGTAATTTACATGTGATCCAAAAAAGTTATGCGACCAAATACATTTTTAATATTTTCACTTCTATTATTTTGTGGACAATTGTACATAAGTATATACTAAGCCGAAAGATATCATTTTTACCCATCAGTACTCCCCATACATACCTATGTACATACATATGGTATATCAATTTTTCTTGTTTTGCGTATTTCAATAGTTTATACCTTTACAAACAACATACTAAAATTTTATATGAATATTTTATATATCTTTTTTGATTAAATTTAAAAAAATTAACTTAATAACGTTATACAATAATAAAATAAGTATTGCTACAAATACATACATTGTATATAAAAACTTATCACAGCCAACGATAGCCACTTATTGCTTATATGCAAGCAAAGCAAAGAAAATAAGTAAGGAAGGCAAGTTTCGGTTGTAACCGAACATTTTATACTCTCGCAATTTTCAAATATCAAAGCCGGAGGAATACCTTTAAGTATTGGCAAAACTTTATATTAAGAAGTGTAGCGAAAAGGTTCAATTTCATTATGCGACGAAATGGTGAATGGATTACAATCAAATTAGGTATCATATTGACTTAGTTTTATTACTATATTTTTCTTCCCATTACCGAAAATTATTTTAAAATCATTGGGGGCATAGAAATGGAAGGGCTGATTGCATTAATTTTTGACGTTTCTCAGGTATACTTGAGAACTTATTCTTAGGCAATTTTCTTAATATATAAATATAAACATATACATATGTATATGGAATAAAGTTAGTCGGACGTTTCAAAAGCGTGAATATCAGTTATATGAGAGCTAAGGCAAGTTATCGCCGAACTTTATTCAATTTAGGCACAAAGATACACTGTTATTAGAAAAAAACGTTTCAATTCATTAAAAAAACTAGCACATTGGTCGATGTAGGTGGTATAAAGTCAACAGGAAATTCAAACATCTTTATATTAGAAATACGGGGGTTAATGGAAGTATTGATCCGAATCATCAGGATCAGATAGACTTTAAAATTGGGTTATATTTGTAGTAGGGTGATTGTAGTCCGATTTCGCAATTATTTGCATTGAGCGAATTTAGAATTTAACAGAGCTTTAGTGGTTTGTGAGATATGTACATTGAACATATTAAAGGGCGGAGCTTCGCCCACTTTTAAAAACATTTCGAACCACAGATACCCCTTCCTAACGCGCCCTTCTTCTTGTACCGTATTACAGTTTTGCATCTTCATTTTCGGCTTAGTTCTGGCGTTTTATAGGTTTTCGAGTAACAGTATTTTGTGAGTATCGTAGTTGTCCGATTCCGACAATCTACAATACCAAACCTTTTATGATGCCAAGAAACATGTGTACCAAGTTTAATAAAAGGATATAATTTTTTACTCAAGATATTGCTTGCGCGGACAGACAGTCACTCGGAAATGAACTCGTATCGTCATCCTGTATATTCTAAATATATAGATCTCAATTAGTTTTAGGTCTTACAAAAAACCGTTAGGTGAACGAAATTATAATACTCTGTAGGAACATGTTGCGAGAGTATAAAAATTGCAGAAAGTACAAACAAAACTTTTAGCGATTTGGTGAACATAATTAGCATGTTTCAAGTAGAAAAAATCATATAGCAACAAAAAGGTTACAACTCAGGATATTCGAGCAAAACACAAATATTTAAAGCGTTTATAGGTTTTCATGTGTTACCTTTTAGCCCGGAAACCAAGACACGCCAGGGATATTTATGGCTGTATGACGCTAAATTGCCGCGTATGATAATGTAAGGCATTTGTCCAATAACGTTGGCGTCAGCTATACTCTAATTGTGACAACACTTTAACAACAGCGATGGCGAAGCAACCTGGATAACAATTAATCAGTCGAATCACTTTATTGAGTAACGTAATGAAAGCGTAAATCAGTAAATTGCCATAAATTATTCAGGTAGCAAGCAAAAGTAAGACGCCTTTAGACTTGGTAGTCAAACGTGTGCCGAAACTACGAACAGCTTCAAACAATCACGACAAAGCTCTCATACTAACTGATTTTCAATAATATATGCAGTAGTAACGATATGACGAATGCAAGCTCTCGTAAAGCTTTTAGGCCAGATTTTTTTGCACCGAAGCTGTAATACCATTCATAAATACAAATGAAATACATTTGAATACAAATGAAAAATTTATTTTGATAGGCCATAAGAACCGGATTTTGATCGATCAAATTGTATGACAGCTATATGTTATAGTAATCCGATCTGAACAACTTCTTCGGAGATTGAATCGTTGTTTTGGACAATAATTCATGCCAAATCTCGTGAATCGTCAAATAAAAAAGTTTTCCATACAAAGTTTGGATATTGAGCGATCAGTTTGTGTGGCAGCTATATGAGCAGCTTCTTGGGGTGAAAAAAAGGTGAGGAAAATTTCAGATCAAACTCTCAAAAACTGGGGGATTAGTTATTGTATATACAGACAGACGGACGCACATAACTTACGACTTAGCTCGCCATATTTTATAGGTTGCGACGTTTCCTTCTGGATTTTACAAACATCGTGGCAAACTTAATATACTTAATTCAGGGTATAAAAATACAAAATAGTAAATACTTCGGTTGTGAACAATCTAATTAGCTTTAATGATTTAGACGGACAATATTGCATGTTTCGAAGTACGTAATATTTAATAAGAATTAAATTGTATATATTGCTGTCGATTTACCCGATTAGGCGCAGTTTTAGTTAATTCTTATTCTATGCCAACATTTTTACGTTTAGAATGTTAGGATATTTTATTGTTTGTCATTATAAATTGATTTGGGTCGGCTTTAGTATACCGTCCCAGGCTTTTGGGGGTAATATGGGTATGGGCGGATAAAGGAGATCCTCCAGATCAAGAATATTAGTGAAGTTTTAGTGGATATAAAAGTGGAAAATATAAGTGTATAATTCATTTGAAATCGAAAAAATGCGTACTTTAAAAAGTTGAAATTTTCAACTTTAAACGTAAATATCTCGAAAACTATAAGATTCCCGCGGCTATATCTATATATATTCTTGATCTGGATCCCATACCCATTTTATCCCCGAAAGCCTGGGACGGTATACTAAAGTTTTCCCATTGATTTATTGGGCATATAAATATTTTGGTTGTCTGAATATATATTATATGCATATTTTACTATTTTCATAATATGAGATTCCTGATAATAAACATTATAATATATTATTTAAGTGTCCCACTATATACAACCTATAAAATATTCAGAAAACAGCAGTATATTCTTTACACTTTTAATAATAAAGAGCTGTACTGCAGTGTACAATATTTTATAGTCTCCTGCAGTTAAATGAAATAAAAGCTTATTGTGTATTTTGCTGCACAAGGAAGTCTGAAAGCCGAAGTGAATATTCGAATAACCAGTTCTCTTTCGACCTGTCCAATTTTTTAATAAAAATGAGCATTGGTCCATGATAAAATATTAATTTAGAATGCTTACACATATTCACACTGCTTTGATTGACTCACTTGTTAATATTTATTGTAGTTTTTCACCGCATTCGTGGTTGCTAATTTATGGTTGTGCTCTTTGTTTAGATAAATAATTGTAAGACCAAAATGCAAAATTTTTGTTATAACTGCGAATTCACCAGATTTTCTATTAATTTATTAGCATTTTTCAGATGGCTCATTACTGATTCTCACACAAAATTTTCTATATAAACGTCAGAAATAATAAAACAAAAATGGATAAATCATTACGCCGCGTCTCCACAGGCAACAGCTATTGCTAACCATCAGTCATATCTATTGCCATTAAAATAGACAATATTTTTGTGTGGGCATTTGTTATCGTGCTATACGCTGCAGTTACACGGTCAAGAATTTGCATTCAAGTGGATCAAACAAACTACTTATCAAAATTGATTTAAATTGGCAGCTATGACGATGTAAGCAACTTCATAATCAATAATAGTTTCAAGATACCGTCGTCATGGCAAGCAATTAAAATTCTTGAAAATTAATAATTTTATGAAAAGATGAAAGAGATTAGTTAAGAATGATGCCCACATATTATATAAACATAAGCAATATGAAGTCTTTATTGACAATATTGCTACCGTCATTTCTTAACATCATCTATTTCCTGCTGAGACACCCCGTAAAGGAAAACTCCATACGCAGTGTTGCTATTGCAAGGATAAAGATGTAATTGCAAGCGATAATAATTGGTTCCAGTTTTGTGCAAGATAGAACGATTGAAATTTTAAGTTATTGGCATATACCGTAATTAATTCGTACTCCGAATAATTAACGGGTTGGTCTTTATTGTAAAACTGGCAGCCAAAATTCGTGAAACCTCTAAGACCTGATAATTTGGTAAACATAACATATTATTCTCGATAAAATTGATGGTTAACTGAAAATAGAAAGTTGTAAGTAGAAAAGCTTCGATATAATGAAGGGTTTTATGGTCATATATTGAAAAGTTTGTTGGATATTCATTGTTCTATTAATAAATATTTAAATTTTTTTCTTATTAAAGAGATTTAAATAAATGTTATATAAGATAAATTTTAACTCAGCAATATTTTTTCGATAAAAATTATAAGAGGCTAAACATCCCTGGTGTTGTCTGTATAGCCTTCCGATTAATGTGTTTATTTCATTCTTTTTGCTCATGTTTTCGTATATAAACAAACAGATAGCTAAGTCAAATGGATCGAAAATACCCAAGAAAACTTAAATAAAATAAGTATTGTGTAAAAATTTGGTTAAAATTACCAAATTTTCATCAAGTGAACGGTTCTTCTATCAATCAATAAAGTAACAATAAATTGTAAGATATTTTTATCAAATCTGTTGACAAAATTTTGATTGAAACTACAATATCCAATGGTGTTGGAAAATTAGCAGAGCAGTTTTATATACATACATATGTACATACACACAAATGTTATTATTTATATTATATACCTACAGGATGCTGTAGTATGAAGAGCGACAATAGAAAATATATATTAATAAAATAAAACAACATTTTAGTCTTAACTAAATTTTTCGTCGAAGAGCATTATCGCCGGTAGCTCGCAAATAGTTACATAAATTTCTATATACATAGACACACGCTCCCTAATTTCAATATATAACATATGCTCCCAGTTGATGAGCGATCAGCAGCTGTAGCGGGCAATTGAGAGCACTTGACATTTGTTTGCAAATTTACCGTGTGGTATTAATCTTGAAAATAATAGAAATGAAGTTTACAAAGTGAATATATAAATCAAAGAGAATAGTTCTTAATACCAGCACCTTGAAAGAACCATATTGCCAATATAAAAATCTCAAGTATTTCATTTTCAAAGTGGTGACGAAGCCAAATTCCTTGTACTCAATAGGCCCAGTGTATATAAATTCTACAGACAAAACAACAGTCGCACACACAAGTGGCAAAGACCTTGTTCTACAAGAACATTTAAAGTGAAATTCATATCAAAAAATGTCGCACCTAGAAATTTTCTTTTGGTTGCTAGCCTTTGTGCTAGTCGTTAACACTATACCTGCGTATGCAGGGGTTGCACACGCTCATAAACACGAAAAACATAATAGTAAAGAACGGCTTAAGGATGGAATATATGCTGGACGTGATGCACACCATCATGAAAACGGAGACCATAATGTGGAATTTGACCATGAATCAATAATAGGTGAGTGGAAATTCTATTTTCATAGTTGAAATTTTTTAAATAATCAAATCGAAACAAGTATTTTTCTAAATATTTACTTCAATGTTATTAAAAACATAATATTAGCTCTTAACCAACTTTTTAAAAATATCATACCATTAAATATTCTGCTAGTAATGGAGACATAAAAGCATATAAAGTGCCTTAAAAATTTTAGAATGCCTTTAAATAAAATTTTTTAAAATATAAAATCTTATAATAAATAGTAAACATGACAAATAAAAATTATAAATATGAAAAAAAAACAACTTGCTGGCTTGGGGAAGTCTTTAAATACATTAGCTTTCTATAATTCTCAACGATTGCTGTTTTAATGCTGTTGGCATTACTAATGTTTTGAGGGACGTGTCAATTGTTTATACACGTGCGTTTCTATTATTTCCGTCTTATTTATGCACAAACATGTTATAGAAGTAATCAAAGAGATAGAATTCTTTAGAATTTTAATTTTACTAAATACAATATTATGTATATATCGTATTTTTCACATTCCTCTTTCAGGCAGCCTAAAAGAAGCAAAGGAATTTGACAAACTTACACCCGAGGAATCCAAAAAGCGATTGCTTGTACTTATAAAGTTAATGGATTTAAATAAGGATGGCTTTGTTGAGCGTCATGAGCTAAAAGCTTGGATTTTAAGGTCTTTTAAGTGAGTTTTATGTTGTTGATTAATGCTTTCATTATCTTCATTCTATTCTAAAAAATCACTAACTTTAAATATTAATATATCACGAATATCACGTGCTCGTAGCTTCCGCTTGCCGGTAAAAATTCAAATTAACTTACATAATTTACATAGCATATATGTAGGTATATCGACCTCACTGAAATGTCGTTGCCCTAATCCTACTTTAATAGAGGTACATACAACTGCACATATAATATAAATGGTTATATACATACATATAGTTGCACGTGTACATAGATCAGCGGGCTTAATACTACTTATGTATTAGTTATTTGTTAAAAGCTTTCTAAGCTCTCAACTGCTTTTAACAATATTCCTTTATTCATTACTTATGGGGTAGGTGTGGTCAGAGACATAAAAAAATTACAATTTTAAAGATTCTTTTTGCCCGAAAATTATTTTATTTTATAGATGTAATATCATAGAATCACAAAATAAGGTTTCGACATGTATTGACAGAAATTAAAAAAAAAATTGATAATTTGAAAAGTAATGGATATTTGCATTGGTCCAGTTCCAACCGAAGCTCCTTGCGGTGACCATCACTAATCCGTGGAGACTCGTCTAAAATCAATCGGACGAAAAAATTAGTTATCTAGTGCTAATTATCGAATAACTAAAAAAATATGTGTCGGATTTACTTCAAATTTTTAGAGAATACTTCTTAGTTATTATACTTTAAGAAAATGCAGAAAAAAAATATTTTTTTAGAAATTGTGGCTACGCCAAATCCCATGTATGTATGTGAATATATGAATGATATTATTAATGCTGTTAGACTTAAATTACGGCACTCAATTACTTTAATTGCAAATTGTTTCAAAACTAACAAAAATTTCAATATATCTAAAAACAAATGTAATACCTTCAATATAACATCTAATAATATCCATTCCTAAAATAAAAACAGAAAACTTGGTGAAGAGGAAGCAGCAGATCGCTTAGAAGAAATCGATGTGGATGGTGATGGAAAGGTCACATGGAAGGAATATCTGAAAGATACTTTCGAAATGGAAAATGAAGACGAAAAAAAGGAATTAATTGATTTTGATAGCTACGATGAAGAGAAAGAAATGATTAAATCAGATAAGGAGCTATTCAATGCGGCAGATTTGAATAAAGATGGCGCATTGGACGCAAAAGAATATGTGCTTTTTTATTCACCAGAAGAACATCCAGAAATGTTGCCAATCGTATTGGAACACACGCTGCGTGAGAAAGATACCAACCATAATGGTGAAATAGATTATGCAGAATACATTGGCAATGCAGGGCAAGATCGTAGCCGCGAATGGTTAGTTGAAGAAAAAGATCGTTTCGATCACTTGGATGAGAATGAAGATGGTCTACTAACCGGTAATGAAGTACTCAACTGGGTGGTGCCAAATAGCGAGGCTATAGCTACAGATGAGGTCGATCATTTATTTGTATCGACAGATGAAGATCATGATGATCGCTTAAGCTATTTGGAAATACTAAACAATTACGATACATTCGTCGGTAGTGAAGCTACGGATTATGGCGATCATTTACAGAATATAAACCATTTCCTTGACGAGCTATAAGCGGACAAATTAAACAACGGTTTTAATCAAATTTGCGTTTAATGCCATATTATTTTGCGACTCCAAACGCTTGTCTAAACGTACAATAGCAAATTGTGTTTTAGATTTTCGTTTAGAAATTTATATACACAATTATTATTAATTATACACATATGTATATATTTATATACCCAGGCTTAGTGTAGTTTTTATTATTTCTTAATGTTCCTCCGCCTATTTGTATATAAAATAGAATTTTCTAATTATTTATTGTACAGTAATAAGAATCAATAAATTTACCACCACTACTATTGTATATTGCGTTTTAATTATAAAAACAAGAAGAAATATTAACTTCGGTTACATCAAAGCTATAAAACCCTTCACAGACGCATTTTTTTGCAGCATAAAAGTGTATAAAAAGATCTGATCGTTCAGTTTGTACGGCAGCTATATGCTGTAGTGGTCCGATCCGAACAATATCTTCGGAGATTTGGAGGGACTAGTTCGTGTATATACAGACGGACATGGCTAAATCGACTCAGCTCGTCACGCTGATCATTTATATATATACTTTATAAGGCCTCCGCCGATCCCTTCTGGGTGTTCCAAACTTTGTGGCAAACTTAATACAAGTATATCCTGTTCAGGGTATACAAATTCTTTGTTTTAGAAATATAGGTTAAGTCAGCTCACAATATTGGTAACAAATATGTCATGAAGAAAACATATCTGTGGTAGTGATAAAGAGCCAATGGAACTAAGTTTGCAATGATCAGACATTCTAGATTGTGCAAGAAGCACAGATTCTATCGACACAACAACACAACCTTATATTGACTCATGTTTATTATTTTCAATCTAATAATAAATATATTTTCCTTAGTACCCACCTGGATGCATTCAATACAATTAAGATGTTTTCCCGCTTATTTAGACACACATATTGTTCTTTATTAGACATTAATAGCTTTATAATGCGTGTTTTTGAATATTTTTCACATTTGAACAAATAACTTAACTAATTACAACTATTTTCTAAAATTGCTGACTGCCGATGGCGTTTTTATTTTTGCGCAAGCAGTGCAACAATTTTCGTGACTAGAATTCACCCATTCTACTTCCGGTAATTTACATTTTTCAACATTAAAGCCTTGCACATTTGCAAAACGTTCTAACTTTATATTTAGATGTGCGGAAAAAGATTTGAACTGAAAACGAACGAATTAAAAAGCAACTTTGTAACAGAGATATTCCATAAGAAATGAAATTTTCGTTTGTAAAGCAAACTGATCACAAAGAAAGGACAGGGTAAAGTGTTCTATATTTATTTACTTAAACATAATTTATTTTAGCTTTAAATATCCATACACACTTTGTAAACATTAAAACTTTATTAATCGCAATGCAAATATATATTAATACGATCTTACAAGTTATCACAATATTGCACCGAATAGGCCTTTGTATTTTTGAATTAATTAATTTAAGTTTATTTATATGGAACAAGCATACAAACGTCAGCTATAAGAAAGTAATCGATATGCTTTCACATTAATTTGCAAATATCAATTTCTAGTAAAACCAGAAAAAACGTTAACTTCGGTTGCACCGAAGCTGTAATGGCCTTCACCAATAAAAAAGTTTCCATACAAGAATTTGATTTTGATCGGCCAGTTTGTATGACGGCTATATGTTATAGTGATCTGATCTAAAACTATTTTTGGAGATTGTACTGTTGCCTTGGGCAATAATTCATTGCAAATTTCGTGGAGATACCTTGTTAAAATCAAAAGTTTTGGCCTTGATCGTTCAGTTTGTATGGCAGCTCTATGCTATAGGGGTACGATATAAGGGGTCCGACACATGAGCAGTTTCTTGAGAAGAAAACGTGTGCAAAATTTCAGATCGATATCTCAAAAACTGAGGAACTAGCTCGCGTATATACAGTATATACAGACGGACATGCATAAATCGACACAACTCGTCAGGCTGATCACTTATCCATATATAATATATATTTAATAGTCTCCAAAGTTTTCTTCTGTGTGTTACAAACTTCGTGGAAAACTTAATATACCCAGGGTATAAATATATATTTTTTGTCGGAAATCGATTCCAAATTTTATTATAACCAATCTAAAAAAAAACAAAAATGAAATAAAAAAAAGAAGAAATTATTAGAATAATAATACCTACTAAAAGCAATGGAAATGATTGAATAATTCAACTTAGAACATTCTTAAGTGATTAAGATATACATATATAAAATATAAAATAATATATTTGTATATATAAAATATAAAATAATATATTTGTATATATAAAATATAAAAAAACATATATATAATATATGTATGTATACATATTAAATATAAAAAATTATATCTTTTATAGATTAAATTTTACTATATACCTATGCATATATTTTTTTTGATTAATTTGAAATATGTTTTTTTTTTCGTCAAACGCTTATGAGTCATTCTTTCCTTCGTGCCAATTTCTTTCGTTTGCACTCAAGTTTTCCTAAGTTTTTTTTAATAAATGCAAGCCTAATTATTGTTTTTGTTTACACCTAATATTTATTTATAGTGACTAGCTTTTATTTATAAGCTTCAAATATATGTACATGCCCACGTTTGTATACAATTTGTAGACTTTACAATACACAATCTTTAATAAACAAGTTTACTCGACATTTCCCTGCTCATTTGTATGTGTGTGTTTCAGTATCGAATTTACCATATACTCGAAACAACTGAAATTACAGATTTGCCTATACAAGTATATAAGAAATACTCGTAATTGTATATATCTTGCTATGTACGAGTATGCGTGAGCTTAGTATGGCACGACGAACTTCACGGATTATAAAATTATGCACTAAGATTTATATTATATTTGTGAAAAGTTCTTATTCTTCAGTTTTTCAAACAATATTTCGCTTTAGAAATTAATTAAAATCAAAGTCAAACTCAAATTTTAATCATTAAAATAATTTTAACAATTTAGAAAAATTACTGAATGCGCCTTAAATTATGCACTGACAATTTATTTACGCTTTTCTTCGTTGAGCTTTGTGCTTCAAAGTAGAAAAGTGATAATAAACGCCGTTTTATCGCTAACCAATTAGGTAGTCCGAGCCGTACAAGTAGCTAAACGTTACAAGGCTGGAGATGCTACTAACAAGAAAATGCTCTCGAATGAGATGATGGTGTACCAGGTTGCGTTCTCTTAAACTACCGCTGGTCTTCGTAACTTTGTCTTTCACTTGTATGTGAATTTGAAATTTTTGCCAATGATCTTACTCCCTGTGCGATATTCTATCATTATATATCGTGTTAGTGTGACTGCAGCCTGTTCTCATATATTTTATACGTAATAATATTGCCGATTGCTCATATTCTAATAAGACTTATTTGAAGCAGTTTTAAAAATTCTTTCAAATGTTCTAGCAAAAAAACGACGTACATAGGTATAATTATAAACTATAGTTACAATATTTAATTTGTAAATACACACACACACACAAATTCACACACACATGTTAGTACCACCGCCCGTATAGTATTATATTATTCCAAATCCCACTTACGCGGTGTCAGTTGCTATAATTTAAAAATCGCATAAAATGTCGTAGTTGTCGACTTGGCGCAGTGGTGCCATATCGTTCACCACTTCGCTCAAATATTGTGTGATGAGTGGCGGCAATTTCAATTTCACCAAATCCTCTCTCGTTTTGACGTGCTTAATAATTTCGGCGCGACAACGATCTTGAAGATTTACAAAATCCCGTCGCGTACATTTGAGAGTCATTTCAGTTTTCGCAGCAGTCGAACAGACAATCGGATATAGCGGTTCCTTGATCTGTATTGATTAATATATGTGTATAGATATTTAAATCCAATCAAATTAATAATACTTACTTACCTTATCTAAACCTCTAAAAGCTACTCCCAAACATTTGCCATCTTTGTAATAGCTGAGCGTACCCTCGATGCCATCAAAGAGCACGCCTATAACTGTGGGATGATTTTCTTTGAAACGTTTAGTGTACAATAGCGCTACACCTTTGTGCCACAGCACACCCTTGTGCGATAGACCCCAGCCATGTTCATTTTCACCGAGCATATTGCGAAAGGAGTTGGCGTGAAGTCCTGCAATGTTCGAAATACGTGAATAGTTTGTACAATTATGTATAGGAAAACAACCGAAATTTAACAACAGAATATTGAAGAGAAAAACGCCCTTAAAGCTCTGTAATGAACTGAAGATGGATATGTAACGAGCGTCAAATATTAAATATATTGTAGTATACATAATGTACTACTTGGATATAATTGGAACCAATTAGGGTTCTAACAGCTTATAGCCCTCTTCGAATGTGGAATGTGAAGCTTTATATGCAAATTCGGATGACTTTAGCTCAAGGCTGTTGCACATAATCTAGCCGACGTCTTAATGTATTAAAAACAAAATTGTGGAATTGACTTCTGATGAGATTTAAACTAACGATTTGAGAGTACTATTTTGGGGTCATGGGAATGTCGGTATAATGCTTACGTGCTTGTTTTGTGCCGATACCAAACATAATACTAGTTCCGAAGACACGCTGTGATACATGTAATTCCCAATAGAAGCGGCCATTATTCAGCGGACGCTTGCCCTGTACACCCGCCGTTCCTTTACTCCAATTCGGGTGAAAATGAACTGTGCGATTATTGAGACCACTCAGTACTATTTCCTTCGAACGATGCCGTTTACTCCACGTCCAATTGTCCTCGCAGCCATGCTCCAGCGGCATGACTTTCTTACGTCTCACCAATTGAGAAGAACTTCCACTTCCGCCACTAGCACTTGCATTACCCGCATTTGTGTTGGCCGCCGACGAAATCAGCGTCGGTGTTGATGTGCCACTTAACGGTTCGTTAATCCTTGCGTCCAATTGGGCTGATGAGTTTAACGAATTATTGTCGTCATCCGAGGACATTTTTTTTCTCTTACGTTACAACTTATGTATGTACGTCAAGATGATTGTGATTAAATTGTTGAATTTAAGAACAATCGATTTCAGTGCCACGTAGCACTTTTGTAGTGTTCTACTGTTACTACTAAGGTCACTACTTGACAGTTTAGATTCTCGAAATCAAGAACCCTGCAAGCGGAATGCGTTTTTGTTTTTTTGACATTTAAGTAGTCTAGTCACTGTTGTCTGACGAAAAGAAGGTCACTTCCGGTTGTTTCGTATTCTACACACCTGCAAAAGCACTTTGCTTCGTTCGCCTGCACCTGTATAACGGTAAACGTTTAGTTACATATACATTCATCTAGAATCACCGCTATCACATCTTACACGTTTGACCCACTCGGTACAAGTCCTTTGTTTGAGAACCCTTTTGTGTTGTTGCGTCTTCTTGGTTGTCGATATTTTCAATTCCCTCTGTTCGCTTGTTGCCGGTTAACTGCTAATATGTATTGTTTAACTAGATACTACACTAGAAAGTGAGAAAGGTTATAAAATATATTTACTAAAAATGATTACTAAAATATTTCGCAGAATACGAGTAAACAAAATAAAAAAAACCGACAAATACGATTTTGAGGAAACAAAAATATTTCATTCATTCGTACATTCACCTATACATACAAAAAAGTGTATTTTCGTTGATGGAAAATAATTGGTGTGCTCAAATAATGAAAATTATTTGCTGGGTTTTATCAGATTTTTATACCCGAGCACGATTTCTTGCTGCGGAGAAGTTTGCATGGGTGCGCCATCTTCAACATAATCAAACAAAAAATCATTCCGCCTCGGACCTTAAAACGGTTTTAAAGTAAATATGGAACGATGTCGTCTAGGATGTACGAGTAGTCAAATTTTTGGGGTTTTAAAGCCTAGAAATTTGGATAATTTGCTAGAGCCAGGAGAAAAGCAAATGAAGTGCCGCAACTCACTTTTTTTCTAGAACAGGTGTAAATAGACTCAAAGGTCCTTAAAAGTATGCTTTAGAACAATACATAACTAATTAACTATACTCGTATTATTAACAGAATTGGTTATCGTGAAATTGTCAGTAAGAAATTTATAAATTCGGAAACAATCATACCGATTTCAGCCTATACTTGGCTCTCACAATATATTTGGGAAAAGTTGAGAATTTATCGAAAACAAGGGTCAGTAATTAGTTCTGCTGCTTCTCATATTATTATGCAGGGTTAGATCGAGATTTTCGTTGTTGGCCGGAACTGGGATCGAAACCTGGATCTGTACATGTCTTACATACTTCGGCGACTGCTTCTTAAGAACTACTCCGAAAAAAACGTACTGTCTTTATGCTCTGATATTATTTCAAAAGCATTCAAAACATAAAAATGTTAAAGCAACATTGGAGATGTGGAACGTATTCCATCGTAACGGTGAAATGGCACCAAGAAACACCGCAAATTGAACTTCTTGCAGAAGCAAATGTTAATAAATATTTTTGGGTTAGGACAAAACAAATCAAAATCATTCCAGCATATTCTCCTCCTCGAAAATGTCATAGTGGAAGACAAATATTATGTACATTCCTATACATATAGCTATGTATGTACGTATGTATGTGCGCACTTACTCACCCGTATTTTATGTTTTTTTTTTGTTTTGTTATGTCATTTAAAGGTAGGTTGTTGTTATTGTGGATGTCTTTGCTGTTGCTAGTTCTAGTTCTACAGCTAAACTTGGGGACAATTCTTCGACAGATACCGGTTCCTCAACACCATAATATGCAACACTTTCTATAGAGGTCGCTAGACCAGAGTCCGTAGTATCGATATCAGAGAGCGAACCATTTACATTGTACACAGAAGCGAAGGGTGATTGGTAGCCGCTAGATGAATTTGAAGTGGACGTATCCCACAATGGACTGCCACTACTGGAACTACTACTGCTACTATTGTTGCCGGCGTTTCTTGCCCTCATGAACTCCTCATATTGCTGTCGCCTCAAATACTGCCTTTGAAGCTGATATTGTTTTTGCATTGAGTTTTGCTGCTGCTCTTGTTGTTGTAGTGTTTGATGTTGTCGTGAAGTGGTGGCAGTCAATCGATTTTTCAAATTTTGCCTTAATTCACGACTTACTTTACGCTGCTGTCGTCGTTGCGCCCATGTTTCCTCCAACGTCGTCGAAGTGCTGCCGCCGCAGAGTGGCTGCCAGAAGCGTGGTCGATTCTCTATCGATAGGTAGCCACTAGATTGCTGTATCTGTTTCTTGTGTGCCTTCTGTATTTCCAATTTTTGCAGATGAAAATGATGACAACAATAACCCTGCGGACTGTTAGCGCAAAAACGACAAGCCTCAGCTAAAATGCCTCCAGCACCATCTGGCTCACCACTACATGTGGATAGATTGTTTCGTTTGCGTGGCTGTTTGTTGGTCTCTAAGCATCCAGTATGGTATTGCTCTAGCAGTAGCTTGCGTGTCGCAGCTGAGGACGTCTCAGCGGCTTCCTTAAGTAGACGTGAATTCTTTGGATTGATCCATCGATCGTGTATATACAGGACAAGACGTTGACAGTATAGACATAGTGATTGAAACAATAATAACAAAACGATAATCATATATGATTGAAGTTTGCGTGCGGACTAGAACGCGAACCCGACTTAGAAGCTGTTGAGGTGGCGATGTGGAGAATCAATTTTTTGAATAACGAAATTTCTGACTGAATAATTTTCAGCCCACAGCGCTGAGAACTGATTGCACTCTGCTGTTGTTACTGCAGACATAAGGTTTTCTTGAATTTTTGTACTGTCTGCGGAGTTGATTGCTGGTGATGGTGGTAGTGCAGTCGGTGTAAACTTTAGGTGAGCCTGGGATGTGTTGATTTTTTTGTCGAATTTGTGGTGGTGAATTTTTCTTAACTTCTGGGGTTGATTTTTACGTTTGACTCAATTTTTCAGTGCTTTTAACTTATTGGATTTTTTTATTTATGCACATTTGTATATATTTTCATTAGAATGAAGTACTGGAAACGCGAAACTGAACTTTTGTTTTTCAACTTCAACTAAACGAAAGACTTACTGTATAACTAAATGTAACATTTTCAATGAATTTACTATTTTCATTTGATATTATTCTTGCACGAACACTTATCGACTCGGCGCTCACTCGCTCCTTAGTTCGTTAGCTCGTCTGTATTACTCCATTCTTGCCCGACTTCTGTCAGCCGTCTGCACTGCTCAAGTGCGCGTAGGTCGCCCAGCAACCCCCTTTTCGCGTCGAATTTTCCAGTCTGTCATGCAATCGTCCATCCTACCCCGTTTGACGTTTCCACTAACGTTCCCCGTAGTCCCTTTTGTATTTTCCACCCCCAATTAGACTAGTTAATATCTCGCCAGATTACAAATGTACATATTTGCCAGATATAAAGTTGTTTAGTAGTATGTGTGTTTCCTTCTATTTGCCGTTTTATTAAACTTTATTGTATTCTTTGTTTTGTTACTGGTTTTCGCGTTCCCCCAACTTATCATTCTTTAGTTTCGTTCATTCATTGCACTTGAAACGAAAAGTTGTCGTGCTATTTGTGCACGTGGAGAGGGCGCAAGTGTCTCGCGTGCTTTCATCCCTAAAGCATTTACGTTTTTAGATGTGTTAAATTACGTTTGTAGATGTGTTGAATGTTGCACAAACATATATACATATATAAGTATGTATATATAAATATGTAAATTTACTTCAAGCATGCGCTCGTGCGATAGTTATATTGCCGCCCGCATTTTTGGCACGTTTATCAGAAACAGATATCAGTTAGTTATATGCAGGTGTGTATGTATGTACATGTACATATATTTAAGTTCATTCATATAAAAGTGAGGCAATATTCGTTTTTGTTAAAATTGAACATATAATACCGAAGTCTCACTTCGTTGAACTTTCTTTTTCTGCTGAAAGAGTAAAAACTACACGCTCTAATATGATAGTAATAGTACTCGTAGTTATACTCTAAACAGGGTAAGTTGGTCACACCCAAAAGTAAACGTCAGAGACCCTATAAAGTGTATATATAAATTATCATCGTGACGAGCTGAGTTGGTTTAGCCATGTCTGCCTGTCTGTCTGTCCGTCTGCCTGTGTATATGCAAACTAGTTGCTCAGTTTTCGAGATATCGATTTGAAATTTTGTCCAAAAATCTGGCCGTTATCGGACCACTATAGCATATAGCAAACTGAACGATCGGAATAAAGGGCTTGTATGGAAGGCTTTTTCATTTGACGAGATATCTTCACAAAATTTGGCATGGGTTATTGCCTAAGGCAATGATGCGATCTCGTAAAAATTGTTCAGATCGAGTCACTATTGCATATAGCTTCCATTAAAATTGACCGATCAAAGTTTTTGTAAGGAATCTTTTGGTATTATAGCCTTCTGCAACCGAAGTTACCGTTTTTCTTGTTTTTATTTGAAACAAATCTATATTTTTATTACAAAACAAGAAAAACTTTAACTTCATCTACACCGAAGCTATAATACCCTTCACAGCAGAATTTCTTTTAGCAACTGTATTAAGACATACTTAAATCTAAAACCGCTACCATTTTACGGTTCGCATCCAATGAAAAGGTTGGGTTAGGTTAGGTTATTCTGGCTGGCTTTCACGCCATACCAGAACTTACAAGGCCTATGTAATGCCAGATGGAGGTTCATTTTTAATACCAGCTGAAGTTTACGTCGTGCAAGACGTTAAAGCTTTTTGCGCAGTAGAGACTCGATATTTAATTCGGATACTTCATCCAGTCCCTTGAACTGCGAAGCTCCTAGAAATCTAAGCCGAATTCTAGATAAGGACGGACATAAGCAGAGGAGGTGTTTCAGCGTCTCTTTCGACATGTGTCATCGCTAATATTGACTATACGGCTCCCATGTGATGCCGATTTGATGATGATAATTGTGACCTGTGACTGCCCTTGTGGACTGGAACCCAGTATATATGTGTTGATCGCAAAGACTTCTGTCTGAAAGATACTGCAGTATTCCGGCAGCTTGAAGAGTCGCCTGAGATCTAGCTCTGCGAAATAGATCCTGGCGTCCACTCCATTAGCCATTTTTTATCCGTCCGTGTAGATGTTGAAAGTTCCGCCATCCACCCTCTTTTAGTGTGACTTGAAACCTTCTCTCCTAGATAGAGTGTAAGGGTATATGGTCTATTTTATCCACCGACCACTAACCTATAGAGCTATGATCAAATATCCCTGATTAAAATTCACCTAGCACCGCCTATATTGCGGCTGATTTCGCTGCCGAGCTTTCCACTGCAATGTCAGGTGGTGACAGGTTAAGCAACCTTTCAAGTTCAGCCGTTGGAGTGGTTCTTTGTGCTCCCGTTAAGAGGAGAGCAGCACGTATATATTTTCATTCCAACTGTTTTTGGTAGAAGATTTTGCTGAAAGCGGTCCACCAAAACCAAGCACCGTAAAGTAAGGTTTGCTTGACTAGCGCTTTGTAAAACCAGTCCACAAAGACACTGTCACCATGTCAGTTTGCTGTTCAAAATTACTCCCAGGTACTTGGTATGATCCTTAGTAGTTAACTCTTCTCCGTTGAGCCTCGGAGGTTTCCATGAAGGGATCTTCGAACTCCTTGTAAAGAATGTCATATCTATTCGCTATTCATCACTCTCATATAACTGCCATACAAGCACAATAATCGGAATCAAGTTTTTGCATGGAAAAGTTTTCTATTTAACAAAATATCTTCACAATTATAGTGTTACAATGGAAACCAACGGTATAATCTCCGAAGAAATTTTTCAGATCGGTCTACTCTAGCTCTTTTATTTGACGATATATTTACACGAAATTTGGTATGGGTTATTATTTAAGGCAACGGTACAACCACCGCAGAAATTATTCAGATCGGACCACTGGAGTATATAGATTCCATTCAAAAATAACGATCAAAATCAAGCTCTTGTAAGAAAAACTTTTTTGTTGCACAAGATATCTTCAAAATGTGGCACAGATTATTGTTCAATGCAACGGTACAATCTTCGAACAAATATTTTAGATCGGATTACTATAGCATATAGCTGTCATACAAACTTATAGATCAAAATTAAATTCTTGTATGGAAGCTTTTTTATTTGTGAAGGGTATTATAGTTTTGGTGCAGCCGTAGCTAAGGTGTTTTTTTTTTTTCTTCTTTTTTTTTATACTCTCGCAACCTGTTGCTACAGAGTATAATAGTTTTGTTCACCTAACGGTTGTTTGTATCACCTAAAACTAATCGAGTTAGATATAGGGTTATATATATATAAATGATCAGGATGAAGAGACGAGTTGAAATCCGGGTGACTGTCTGTCCGTCCGTGCAAGCTGTAACTTGAGTAAAAATTTAGATATCTTTATGAAACTTCGCAGACATGTTTCTTGGTACCGTGAGTAGGTTGGTATTGCAGATGGGCGTAATCGGACCACTGCCACGCCCACAAAACGACATTAATCAAAAAAAAAAATTGCCATAACTAAGCTCCGCAATTAGATACAAGACTTTTATTTGGTAAACAGGATCACATTAGGGAGGGGCATCTGCAGTTACAATTTTTTTTTTAAGTGGGCGTGGTCCCGCCTCTAATAGGTTTAATGTGCATATCTCCTAAACCGCTAATGCTATAATAAAAAAATTCACTGGAAGCAAATTTTTTTAGCATTTCTATTGACGGTGGGAAAATAGTTGAAATCGGGTGGCAACTCCGCCCACTCCCCATATAACGGTACTGTTAAAAACTACTAAAAGCGCGATAAATCAAGCACTAAACACGCCAGAGACATTAAATTTTATCTCTGGGATGGTATAAGATGACTTTATAGGAACCGCGTTCAAAATTGGTCAGTGGGCGTGGCACCGCCCACTTTTAGGTGAAAACCCATATCTTGGGATATGCTTAACCGATTTCAACCAAATTCGGTGCATAACGTTCTTTTCATATTTCTATGTTATATTGCGAAAATGGGCGAAATCGGACTACAACTACGCCTATTTCCCATATAACACCATTTTCAATTCCATCTGATTCTTTCACTTTCCACTATGCATATCAAGCAACAATGATTATATCGGGGTAAAACTTTGCGTGAATAATACCTTTAAAGTATGCCACCTTGTGACCAAAAATTGTCTAAATCGAACCAAAACTGTTCAAGCCCCTAAGTACTAAATATGTGGACCTATAGTTGACCTTCTACCGAAAATATCAGCCAATCCACAAAGAAATCTCAAACGAGTATACCATTTGACTTTGCGAGAGTATAAATTTCGCATTTTCGCAATATAACATAGAAATGTGAAAAGAACGTTATGCACCGAATTTGGTTGGAATCGGTTAAGCAGATCCCAAGATATGGGTTTTCACCTAAAAGTGGGCGGTGCGACGCCCACTGACCAATTTTGAACGCGGTTTCTATAAAGTAATTTCATACCATCCCAGAGATAAAATTTAATGTCTCTGGCGTGTTTAGTGCTTGGTTTATCGCGCTTTTAGTATTTTTTTAACAGTACCGTTATATGGGGAGTGGGTGGGCTTGTCACCCATTTTCACACCGTCAATAGAGGTGCTAAAAACATTTGCTCCTAGTGAATTTGGTTATTATAACTTCAGCGGTTTAGGAGATATGCGCATTAAACCTATTAGGGGCGGGACCACGCCCACTTTAGAAAAATTTTAACTGCAGATGCCCCTCCCTAATGGGGTCCTGTGTACCAAATAACAGTCTAGTATCTCATTGCGGAGCTTAGTTATGGCAATTTATTTGTTTTTGATTAATGGCGTTTTGTGGGCGTGGCAGTGGTCCGATTACGCCCATCTGCAATACCAACCGTCTCACGGTACCAAGAAACATGTCTACCAAGTTTCATAAAGATATCTAAATTTTTAATCAAGTTACAGCTTGCACGGACGGACAGACAGTCCCACGGATTTCAACTCGTCTCTTCACCCTGATCATTTATATATATATAACCCTATATCTAACTCGATTAGTTTTAGGTGATACAAACAGCCGTTAGGTGAACAAAACTATTATACTCTGTTATACGAGAGTATAATAACAAGAAATTTGTTTTGTTTTGAAACAGCATCAAAATCAACGCATTATACTGCTACGTATCCATATTATGCACTTTAAATTCATTTGTCAATTTAAATACAATAAATATTATTACTTCACAAAACATTTCCAAAATACTTTAGTTTCGTTTGAAGAGGAAAATCTTATCATACTTTTCTATGTGTTTGCATTACTATTGAAGCTTACAAGCCCTTACCATAAGTGTTTGCTCATTGTTTTATAAGAGACAAACGTACTTGTCTATCAATCTAATGCACACGTCCAAGTCTCTGGATCGGTTGCCGAGAATTTACTAAAAGCTATGATCAAAGCTTTCCAACAGATAAAGGTGTCTAAAGGGGTTACTTTTCAAACTCACGTTTTTATTTTGTAGGCTAAGTACTTATTGGACTGCCCTCGGATATCAGTTTATTAAGAGTATTGTTATATGAGATTCTGTCACCTAAACAGATCCCATGTGATAAAATACATATAACTTAAATAAAAACAAGTAAGGAAAGGCTAAGTGCAAACCAGTCGGCGAAGTGAATGAACTGCAAAGCCAGAGAATTTCATGTTCTCTAGGTGGAGGTCTCTGTAGTTCGCACTGTCGTTTGTTGGGACATATCAGAGGAGGATACTGCAATTCTAGACAAGTCTGCATATGCCGTTAAAATTAACGAATTTAATCATTTATGCTGTGTATGTATGTGCTACATACATACTCGTACATGTATTTGTATGGACTTACCTGTAATGAACTTTCTATTACAAAGTGTATTTGATTTAATGCAATTACTAAATACAAAGCAGTTTTATTTTGTTTTAACATTTTTGACACATATTACACAGTTTTGAGGTATCTCGTTGCTGTATGGAGGATGAAGGAGTTTGGATCCGATTTCAATTATTTTCATTGCGGAAACCTATACACCATGTTTAGTAAAAATTACTTTATAGTATCAGCGAGAGATATGGTTATAAGTTTTTAATTTCGAATATGTTAATAATTAACCGTTAAATGAACAAAACTGGTGTCTAGGACTATATGTAACTGATTCGCTCTCAAAAATGGCAAGAGTACTTATCATGTTAACTAGGCATCTATATTTTCCTTAATTTTTCGTACAATTTCAATATTGCCTATGTGCGCGTCAGTAAAAAGATGCAATATAATATATATAATATATTCTGAAGTCCTATCGGATTGCTGTTTTGAACAAATGCACTAAATATTTCCTTATATTACAAATGACTTGTAGTTGGGAAACGACGGATCCCATAGTGACAACAGATACCCTACAATGTGCTTCCATTAACCAAAGAAATACATTTGTATGAATTAATGTTGATCAATCGGGACTACAACCGATTTCGCCAATTTTCGCACCGTAACATGAGAATGTTATTTGGTTAAAATTAATCGAGATATGGGATTGCACTTAACTACTTCCCATATAACACAGTTTTAAATTCCATTACTTTTCAGTAAGCAAATCAAGCATTAGCTATTGTATAGATATCGCATATGTGGATCCCAGTTCCTTCCAGTTGACTTTATACCGCATATGTCGGTCAATAAGTGAGTTATGTTATTGCAATTGAGAGAGCGTGTTTTTTCAATAACAGTGTATCTTTGTGTATAAAATGGAGAAAATCGGGTGAAAACTTTCCCTAGCCCCAATTTAACTAATACCAGGATTTTTAAACATCTGGTTGACTCTACTGTTACTCTTTATAAATATATTGGCTATGGCATGTGAGGTATTTTAATGAATTACAATTAAACCGTTTAGTGAAATTAAGTGTATAGGCCTTCTTAAAAATTATATGACTTAGCGCTGAATATGAATGAAATTGGCCTAAACTTAAGTCCAAACCTTATATCCCTAATATAATCAATTTTGATTCTTTGGTTGACGTTTTTCACATCAACACAATATATTAAATTTATCATCTTTGGTCACTATGGCCAGATACTTGATTAATACCTATTTTAAAATACAATATATTTTGCTGACGGGAAGTAAAATATTACTATAAAACGAATTGAGTCTATAACGTATAATATACATATTTTACAGATATCACGGTCCCACTCTTCATTATATATCTGAAACAATACTCCAACCTCACCAAGGGAAATCATTATATACGAGTATATCAAATTGGTCTTGCGGAAAGGCCTATGTCGCCAATGCTGATACAGTAAATTGGATTAATGAGATATCTCATATATTTGCTGACATAAAAAGTCAGTCTAAAAGAGAGATACCTTCATATTTGGTACATATGCTGTATAGGGCCAAGGTATGGACCAATTTCGATTATTTTTAATTTTTGTATTCTAAACATGTCGGTTGCTTGAGCTACCTATTATAAAGGCAATCAAGCTGATGGCATTCCATCGAAAGAGGGCGTTATTATATTCTAATCTAATATAATTTCTAATGCGGGGTAACCTTATTAAAATTTAACGTTTCTGTGGTAATAAGTAGTTAAAGTGTTTTTTTACAAATTAGTTGATCGATTTTATAGAATTTTAAGTTTCCACTTTATTTAGTAATTAGTGTTAAAATAATGTGTGTTGCCTAGAATCTTCGTTTAATTGATATATTCGTTATTTGTGTTTCTTTTAATTATTGTTTTTTTTTTCATAGAAATATACAGTTTATTAGATGGCTACTACACATATTACATATTTAGTTATGTTTATTTTTTTCATTCGCTTATATTTTACATGCTAATATTACAATTAAAAAACAAGAAGCTTTAAACTTTTGTAACTTCATAGTTTAGTGGCAATGGCAGATTTTTTGTGTTCATTTTTGTTTATATAAACAATATAATTAAGACTTGGGCAAGTACTTTTCGACAACATATTATAATCGCTAGAAACTATAATGTGACCGTCATGCTGAAGATGAGCATTTTCTAGTACGCGACATATGGGTAATTAGGTATTTTAAGGAATTCATAGCAATTGGTTACCAAAAATGTTTTTTTGGTTCTAGGATTATTTTGAATTAATAAAATATTTCGTTTGATTTCGTCGATTTTTGAGAGTAGAGTTTCATAAAGTTACTCAATAAAATTTACTTTAATTATATAATGGTATATAGCTTTTGGGGAAAAACAAGATTAAGAACTGCTGCTTATGTTGAATTTTTTATACAAACTGTACATCTAGATACTCGTTGCAGTAAATTGCCTGCTTTGAGTGTTTGCATTGCGGGGCGTTGGAACTGTTCATTGTTCTCAACTGTGACTAACCAAAAACTGGTCATGGTTTCGTAGAAATGGCAGTGACCCTTAGCGCCATTACATTCGATGAACGGCGTGGCGCGGAAATCTTCCAAACATGAACCGGGCGATGCTAATGCCTGACCACCGCCGCCATTACCCACAGCAGTGTGCTAAAATGGAATAATAGAAGAGAAAGTTGAATATGTTTATATGAAAATATGATAAACGGTGGTGAAGGAGTAGACATTACCATTACAAAACTGTAGCCTATCCATAGGCTTTCCCATCCGTTGGGACAATCTGGAATGGTTAAAGATTGGCTATGTACAGCGATTACATTCGCAGGTGCCTCGCAGACCACGCAACGCGATATGTATTTACTGATCTCATTGTTGTTGATGGGCATCATCGGTATGGGTGCGGATGTTGAAAGCCAGAAGGTTTTATCGTTTCTTGAAGCGTAATTGCATATATTATTTTGACCACATGACATCACTGGCAGTGTAGAGAAGCGGCGCACACAAGACCCAGCAGACCCGAGCTCTTGGTTGTGGGCATAATCGTTACCATCGACATATAACATTGAGTAACCGGTCCATAGTTCAATTTGGCCGCTAGGACAACGCGGTACCTCTTCGGATTGACTGTGTTTGACAAGTAATATGCCAGTCAGGTAATCTTGTGCTGCTGTGCATGCCGCACCGGATTCACCTTGTGGCCCAGGTTGGCCAGGAGCTCCATCTCGTCCTGCTGGACCAATCAAACCTCGATCACCTTTTAGTCCGGGACGTCCTGTTTGACCAATTAGACCGGTCATACCGATTTCACCTTTTTCACCGCGTTCACCCTGTAGGCCGGTTAAACCACGTGGACCAGGTGGTCCTCGTTCTCCTTTTTGTCCATCATATCCCGGGTGACCGGGTTCTCCTTTAGGACCTGGTGGTGGTACTAAACCTGGTTCACCCTTTTGACCAGGTGCTCCAGGTATACCATCACGCCCATCCCGACCCTTAGGTCCAGTCAAACCTTTCTCACCAGGTGCTCCTATTGGTCCAGGTGTTCCATCTAAACCTGGGTAGCCGCGATCACCTTTCAATCCATTGCGACCTACTAAGCCTTGTGGACCAGGCATGCCTCGTTCACCCTTTTCTCCCTTTTGTCCTTCAAAACCAGCCAAGCCTCTTTCACCTTTAGGACCGGGGAAGCCCATGTCACCTTTTTGACCATTTTGACCAGGTAAACCATCAGCACCCTCACGACCGGGCAGTCCCATAACTCCTCGATCTCCCTTGGGACCGGATGGGCCCACCGGCCCAGGTAAACCAATTAAACCGGGTACACCTGCGAGACCAGGTAAACCCTTTTCACCCTTCTGACCATGTAAACCAGGAGCTCCTAAAACCAATTAAATTTTAATTTAATCATGAATCGTACAGTTTATATTTTGTTACCTTCGCGTCCGTTTCTTCCAGATCTTCCAGGCAGACCCTTTTCTCCTTTGATTGCTGGTCCAGGTGCACCAGGTTCACCAACAAGACCTTGATCACCTTTTAAACCTGGAACACCATTCAAACCAGGCATACCCACTGCACCAGTTAAGCCACGTTCTCCCTTTTGACCATTTAAGCCGGGTAAACCTTGATTACCTTTGGGACCCATAGGACCTTGCAAGCCTTCAACTCCAAATTCACCCATTTCACCCTTATCACCTTTTATTGTAATTGGCATTGCATCACGTCCACTTTGTCCTGGGAGACCTCTTTCACCCTTGAGACCAGTGGCTCCAGATAGACCAGCATAACCTTTAACACCTTTATCACCTTTAAGACCTTCCAGACCTATGGGACCTGTATCTCCCTTGTCTCCTTTTGCGCCAGTATAGCCGATTGGACCAGGTGCACCAGGCTCACCAGGCCTTCCTTCCAAACCAGGAGCTCCTATGGCACCTGATAATCCCATTTCACCTTTATCACCTTTTTGTCCATTTAAACCATTGAAGCCAGCATTGCCCTTTTCTCCAGGCTCACCATTAAGTCCATCGATACCATCGCGACCACGATCTCCTTTATCACCCTTCTGCCCAGGAAGCCCGTGAATGGGTATACCGGGGAAGCCTTTCTCACCAGGAAATCCGGGTGCACCAGGACGACCTTCTTCGCCTCGCAAGCCAGATAAGCCAGGTTCTCCCTTTTGTCCTTTTTCAGCCGCATCACCAGGTAATCCTTGAGGACCATCGAAACCAGGCTCACCTGTGGAACCTTTTTCTCCATCGAATCCAGGACGACCATCAGTTCCAGGAGGTCCTTGTGGACCAATATCACCTTTAGATCCCATTAAACCAGGAGCTCCAGGGGCTCCTCTAGGACCAGTTGCACCATCATTACCAGATAAACCTACTTCGCCTTTGTCTCCCTTCATACCTATATGATATAAATAGATTTTTTACATAAATGTATCTACATATGTATATGCTACACAAATATATATTTAATTTCTGATTTTAGAAGAAAATACCTACCAGGTATGCCCTCTGGACCAGGAGAACCACGCTTTCCTGGGGATCCAGGAGCACCTGTAAAGCCTTTAGGTCCATCATTACCAGGTGCTCCACGTTCGCCCTTAATTCCAGGCATACCAACATAACCGGGATTTCCAGGTTCTCCTTTGGCTCCATCACGGCCTTGAACTCCATCCACACCTGGTTTTCCGGGGGGTCCGGGAGATCCAGGAGGTCCAAGTGGTCCCGTGTCGCCCTTAGAACCAACAAGTCCAGTCTGTCCCGTCGGTCCAGGCAAGCCCGCATCACCTTTTTCACCAGGATAACCAATCGCTCCATCTGGACCTCGAGGCCCAATTGGACCAGGAATACCACGGTCTCCTTTCTCGCCAGACAGACCATCACGTCCTTGAGGACCAGGTGGACCAGCCACAGCGATACCTTGTTCACCTTTTTGTCCTCGCTCTCCAATTCGTCCAGGGGGTCCTCTAAGACCATCTTTACCAGGATTTCCGGGGGCACCCAGACCTCCAGGATTACCCTTTTCACCGCGAGGACCAGTCAAACCGCGTGGACCCACAGGACCCACTGGGCCTTGTGGACCTCTCTCACCTTTCTGTCCTTGGTCTCCCTGGTCTCCTTTATCGCCAATTGGACCCATTGGACCTGGCATTCCGGGTGCACCTCGGTCACCTTTGTTACCTTTAGCCGGCACTGTCAAGGCATCAGCGTCACAAGTTCCTGGGTCACCCTTTTGTCCAGGACGGCCACCAGTTCCTTTGTCACCTTTAATTCCATCACGACCTGAACGGCCTGGTTCGCCCTTAATGTCTATACCGGGAAGACCATCGATTCCGTCACGACCGGGATTACCAGGTGTACCATCTGTACCAGGTTGTCCAGCATAGCCCTTATCACCCTTGGTACCGATTTCACCCTTTGAACCACTTATACCAGGCATACCGCCCTCACCACGGTCACCCTTCAATCCAGCTGGTCCCGGAAAACCTCTTTCTCCTTTTTCTCCTTTCTCACCCTTTACAAGACTTAAGTCGATTATTGCATCTTTACCAGCAGGTCCTTCGGGACCAGGTAAACCGTCCCTGCCATCTTCACCCTTTACACCAGGTGGTCCATCCTTACCAGCAATACCATCAGCACCCCGTTCTCCAGGCGCACCAGTAGCACCAGGAGGACCACGCACACCGGGTTCACCAGGAAAACCATCTAAGCCGTGATTGCCCTTATCTCCTTTAAAGCCAGCGGGACATTGTGAGCATTTACCTCCCGCATCTCCTTTTGAACCCATATCTCCTTTCAGTCCGGGGTTACCGGGTCGTCCTTGGTCACCCTTTTGACCAGGCGCTCCAGCGCGACCTGGAGATCCAGGTCGTCCATACTTAGAATCACCTGGCGCTCCAGCATTTCCTTTGAAGCCCCGTTCGCCCTTTTGACCTTTAAGACCGGGAATACTGTTGGATTGAATAATTAGAATTTATTACTAAGTTTGAATGATCCAAAGTTTTTTGCTTACCCGGGAATACCGTCATCACCTTTAGAACCCATTTCACCAATTCCAGGAAAACCGGGTTCACCTTTTTGACCTTCCGGTCCTGGTGGACCAGTATGGCCCATAGGACCAACTGGACCTGAAGGACCTGTTCGACCAGCATTACCTTTTTCTCCTTTCTCTCCAGGAGGACCTTCAACACCAGGACGACCAGGTAAACCTAGGCCGCCCTTGGGGCCAGAATAACCTTGTGGCCCTGGAAGGCCATCAACACCATCCAAGCCTTTAGGGCCGGGGGCACCTGTATAACCTCGGGGACCTTTAGGACCTGGTGCCCCTGGGGAGCCTCGGCCACCACCAGGAGGACCTGGAGGACCAAGCAATCCACGTTCACCAGGCTTTCCAGGACGCCCGGGCTCACCTTTGTAACCAGGTTTTCCAGGCAAACCGTTTAAACCAGTATCACCGCGATCACCTTTCTGGCCTGCTGGACCGGGAGGGCCAAAATTTCCTTGCCGTCCCTAAAAAATACGAACAACCATTTTTCGATATTGCAAAATATTCGCTATAAGTCCAGCTTTTAAAAACTTACTCTGTCACCAGGACCGCCAGGTAAACCCTTTTCACCTTTCACACCGTCTCGTCCCATGTCTCCTTTTAATCCGGTTTCACCTTTCATGCCAGATGAGCCTGGTTCACCTTTTTCACCTCTTTCTCCCTTTTCACCTGTAATGCTTTTCTCTCCGGTTGAAGGTTTCACAGAAGCTGGTTCACCCTTTTCACCTTTATCACCCTTTTTACCGGGCTGTGGTGGTGCAAAACATGGTGCACCTTTGTCACCTTTTATACCTCGATCACCACGTGGACCTGATGGACCATATGGACCAGTATCACCACGATCACCTTTAGGACCCTGTTGACCTTCGGGACCAGGATTACCCGAGCGACCAGCAAAACCAGGTTCTCCCTTTTCACCTTTAGCGTAATCTCCATTTTCTTTTGCCGGCTCACCTTTCTCACCCTTAACACCTGGCTGACCTGGATAACCGCGTGGACCAGGCATTCCGCTAAGACCTGGCAGACCAGTAAGTCCATCTTCACCATCACAACCATCTTTACCAGGAGCACCAGTAGCACCGGGGTTTCCAGAAATACCCTGTACACCAGGTACACCAGGCATACCAGGAATACCGGGTACTCCGCGTTCACCCTTGTAACCGCGTGGACCTATTGGACCGGGATCGCCTTTTTGTCCTTTATCGCCAGGCGGGCCTTCAGGTCCTGGATATCCAGACATACCTTTAGGGCCGGCCGGGCCGGCTTCACCGGGGAAACCGCGATTACCCTTTTCAGCAAAACATTTCGGAATGCAACCCACTGTGCCGGATGTACAATTTCTTGGTGGTCCATTTCGATTTGTTCCTACAGTATCTAATATCGCATAACTATCATCAATCGGTGTACGGGGAGGCAACGATTCATCTCTATAATGTTTTGGTGGACTATAAATTGCACCAGTATCGGCGGCAGTTTTCCAAAATTGCTAATTAATAAAAATGAAAAAACATTCATAAATCAAAAAAATTTTTTGCACAAATAATAATTATTCCTACCGCATTCGCGCCTAGTAACGCTCCTGCTATCGTAGCGGCAAAAATAAGCCTAAAAAAGGAAAATTCGAATTGTTAATAAAAGGTAACAGAGGCTTAGTAGAAGTAACTGTATATATTATGTGCACCACATATCTTATGGCGTTAAAGTAGGAATAACGAAAAAATATACTCCTCTAAGGAAGTATAGTGTTGGAATTTCTATGCACTGAAGTTGAGTTGTATTATTATAAGCTAATCGAGAAAGATATACATATATTATATATAACCAAATGATCAGAATGACGAGACAAGTTGAATTCCGAATGTCTGACTGTCTGTTCGTTTGTCCCTATAAGGACTTGAGTAAAAAGTGAGAAAAAAGCTGGTAGACGTGTTCTTTGACACTCTGAGGATACCAATGTTTTCAGAGCAGCTTAAAACGGAATGGAATCAAACAATTCAGTACAAAAGTCACCAAGTAGTAAAGCTATATCCACAAATTAGAAATAAACACACACGACCTTCAAATAAAGCTTATACCGTAAAATATTAAATGTCTTAAGTCATTAAAGAAAAACGCCAGAAGCATTCAATTTGGTATAAAATATGGTAGGCAATGGGTGAGGAATCGCCTACTTTTAGGTTAAATCTTATATCGTAAGAACTGCTCAACCAATTTTAACAACAATTATTATACTGAGATAATTATGTTTTTCTTCGAAAAAGGACGAAATCGGACTACAGCCATGCCTTCCTATTATATAACACAATTCCATCTGTTTCTTCTACTTTACAATATATAAATGAAGCACCAATTAAGATATCTGAATAAAAATTTGCAAAATCAGATCACAATATTTCAAGCCCCCAGATAAGAAATGTTGAGATCCTCATATTTCTGCCTATGGTTTTGACTTTTTACCGAAATTAGTGGTGAATCTCTCAGATTTCGCATAAAATTTAGAGCGTGTCGTTTCCTCGTTTTCCATAATATCATTTAGCTTTCAATTTAAATGGTATTAGTTTAGACCCCATACCACACTTGCACATGTCTGAAAATAATGTCCTACATTTGAGCTTCAAAAATTTTCAAACTTAGCCATTAAGAAATAGTTGTTATCTTTAATTTACATTTACATGGATTTACACTATTGCTCTATCTCTTCAATCTCTACAATCTCTTTCTTTACGTTGGTTACTCTACAAGTATATCGAAATATTTCTATTTTAATGTATACTTTCAGTCCAACACTCTCAAAAATTTATAAAAACTTTCCTCTTACTTTGTACTAAATATAGATATTTTAATTTCTAAAAAAGCAGCACTTGCTTGTACATATGTACGAGTATGTAATAAGAGATAAGTACATTTAAGTTAATTTATGTACATAAAAAATCCCCCTTGAGAAGGTTTTATGTGCATATCCCATAAACTATAAGAGTTTACTCAAAACGACCACCTCGATTAAATAGGGATCTTTTAAAACTACTAAAAGCATTAAAAAATACAACCTAGCACAAATAAAACACCTAACATGTAATATATCTGAACATGTCCGAAATCGATTAATACTTCCCATAGTATAATTTCGTCTAATACTGGATGCTTTTACATATGACTTGTTGTTATAGCGACACTTAAACCCAACTGAATAACCACAAGCCAGAAATAATATTAGAAATAATTGCTTAATCGAACTGTATTCCGGTAAATTAAGTAAAAATTGAGATATCTTAAAACTTTGTAAACCCTTGATACTCTTAGAAGTTTGGTGTTATAGGTGGACTAACTCGGGCTACTGTCAAAATACAATAAAACTTACTACGTTTCATTACTATATTTTGCTTCGTGTCCGAGATATTTATATTTAAATCAACTTAGTTACTTACTATATGAGATACCACCATACTCAACCAAATAGGCTTAATTTAATATATTGGGCATATGTTTTGAGGAAATTATCAACCAGAGGTAGATGTGGACTGTTTGCATTACTCAAGTATACTCCAGAGCATACCAACATACTATTCGTAAAATAGTTTGCTAGAATGACGAAAATTATGTTAAATAGTATAGGAGAGCTGGGATAATTCGCGAACAGATTTCACACATTTTCGGCATTAAGCTATAGTATCTAATAATATATGTTTTCTTACATATTGACCGATATATGTGGTATAGAGCCAACTAAAAGTGAAAAATTGTGACATTAGGTATATGGGGCCTCCGATTTTATCCAATTTTGACATTATGACATATCATAAACAGAAAAGATGTTCTCATATCTTCGAAGTTGTGAACAGTTTTGATTACTTAGGCATCTGCTTTACAAACAATCTCAGGCTTGATTTTAAAATCGTTTTGCGTCCATGAATACATTATACACAAATCTTTCAGACGATGCACTCGATTAGGTCTGCCATTGGCTTGCGAGGGGTGGCTACTAGAAAATCTCTTTTGACGCTGATCGTAGCAGAAACCGTATCAGGACATATTAGTTTCGCTTTTACCCCACCGCAGGCGAAATAACATAATACTGAAGCAAAAGCTTTGAAGTTATTAAAGAAAGCTTTCTAATTCCATATTCGAACAAAATTACACGTTGTAAAGAGTAACATTTGGACTTGTGTGATTTGTATAGGCCTCTCTATATGTGCGCGAATGGCAGCCGAGCCACAAACTTATTTGAATATTGCATACATATACATAAATACATACACAACTACATTTTCATTTCTGTATTTACCTCTGTTGAAGAAATCTTCAGAAGAGCTTATTGCTTAGTTGTAGGCGATGAGATTAATATTGGGTTTATTGAAAGAGAACTAAACAAAGAGATATGTGATATGAGAGTTTTCTTTGCTTAACGACTAGTGTTAACAGTGAAATTCGCACACTTTATGTATTTCAATTTTCTTAAGTGCTAAAAGGGTATTGAGGCAAAGAATTATTCGAAATTGGTCGCTAGTCTTTGAATGGTAAGCCTGTGAAACAGTTTTAAAACTTGAAATTTTTTCTTTGGCTGAAATATGCAAGCCTAAAATTCGTTCCGAAATTCCAGTATTACTTAGATTTTTTTGAGTTTGAGTATTATAAATGTATTTCTATTTAGTATACATATGTTAAAGAAATCCAGCAAATCAATGATGGGTAATATTTTTTTCACATTTATAATTTTTAATTATATAAGCTTGCAACTAAAGCACCATAGTCCACCTATGACTTACGAAGATCCAGACGATGGATGGTATTGCTTAGTAGCGTTTGTAACCGGATGTATCGATAACCGGATCTTTCATTAAGATCTAACGGAAGTAAGATAAGTTTTTGAAATTATACCGCCATAAGTAATGAATAAATTAATAATATAAAAAAAACTTTATTACAAGTCAAAATATAAAATAAACATTTTTTTGAGTTTTATGTATGTAATTCTAATTTTGCCGTCGGAATATAAATTTTATAAATTTATTTTTTAAAACACGCTTATATTTCTTCTTATGTTCGTTAATATTGAAACGCGTTTTTAAGATATATTTATTATAAAATTGAGATTAAATGGGGCCAACAAATAATGTTATTATTTCATAAAATTTTTTTTTTTTGTGCTAAAATAATACCAAAATCAGTTTATATAGAAAATAAAAAATTAATTATTTCTATTTGCAATTTATTTTGTTTTATTTTATTATATTTTTTTATGAGCTATAGTATGTACATATTTTTTTCCTAAGCGCGAATATTCGCAGTTATTGCTTAAAAATTAGAAAATGTATTTGTCGTAACTTAGGCAGGGCTAAGTTGGCACTTACCGCTTCCAGTGGGGCACCATCATGCCCAACGCTCAATGCAAGCGCTCCTTTCTCACTTTATCCAACTTTTTAAATTAAATAGTGAACAGCCTTAAAAAATAATATAAACGTTTATAAGAGTTATGAAAAAAATTAGTATATAATTATTGAACGAAAACTTTTTATTAAGCAAACAACACAGGAGGCACAGTAAAAATTACTAATAATATTTTGACACATTTTTTAATTGAACACTTTACATGGTATTAATTTTTTATAAAAAAAAATTATTTACTTTTTAATTGTTGCCACTTAGTTCAGTTCGTAGATTTAATTAAAAGTAATAATGAAGTAAAAAACAACTAAATATAAAAAAGTCCACGTATTTTTTTATCGTTTATTAAATATTCATTTGTTTAACTAATCTTCTTTTTTTTCGTTTAACTACATAACGAACGGAATAGGAAACACGAAAATATTCAAAATTAAAATAAGGCGAATTTATTCTGCCTCAAACCCCATCAACCCTGGCGCGTTGTGCGGGTACGACGGGCTTCCTAAAGCGATCTAACACTATGGATCGTCTGGAGCGGACTGAATGCTCGAATTGCCGACGCAGCTAGACGAGCATAATTCCCGCAAACGCAGCAAACACTAACACCAACAGCAACACAAACAACCACAAATGAAGAAACAAAACACAAGAAAGAATAAATGTACGACAAATGAAGACACAAAGTGCCAGTGGCGCACCAGAACTAGAAGCAGCCACTTACTTTAGAAGGCAACACTCGACTAATTATAGTATAACTTCCAGCCAACGGCAAACGTTCACTAGCTGCCCGCCAACCAAGATCCCTCATACTCAATCACGTCGTATGCTAAATACGGTATATGTACGATAATTCTGCTCATGTGTGTGTGTGTGCGCACGGTATTGACAGCATAATATGTGTGAGAGGCACAGCTCACACGGATTGTTGGAGGAGATAGAGCACTCACTGTGCCAGTAAATGATAAGCTTTATTCACGATCAGCTTTTCATAAGTACATGCACACCAGATACAAGATGTGCGCTCGGCTACACCGATTGTGCCAGACCATTGGTTGGCGCATTATGTTTGCGCCGATCTTGCGACATGCCACCCATTCATGACAACACCGACGTGCCGGCATATCCGTCGTGTGCAAATATATGTATATACATAGGTACTCCACCACTACATGAAATATGTTATGTAGTTACACATATGTATACAAGTATGATATATATGCTTATATACATATATGTATATGTTTCTGCGCAGGCTTTCAGCGATACAGCTTGTAACTAAATAGTCATATCAAATATGAGTTCATTTGTGTTTATGTATGGATGTGTGTGCCAAACGTAAAAATACTTGTACATGTGTTTGGATGTCTTTGTTTTATTGGAACGGATGAAGTTACGCAAAAGGACGGGGTGTCCATGCAGGCAAGAGTTTTGCAGTAAACGTAAGTAATGTATAGAGAGTTGGCCGCTTTCAATGAATTTTACATAAACTTTATTACTGTCAGAAATATATTCAGATATTTAACATTGCCATTGGTATAGTAGGTCCGGAGATATGTGATTCACCTATATGTGGGTGGTGCCACGCTCATAGTCCAATTTTAACCCGGCTCCTATAAAGCCCTCGTGTATCATCCTGGGTGTAAAATTTTATGTCTCTGCATTTTGTTATTGACTTATTGCGCTTTAAGAGAGGGCGGGGATATAATTCGATTTCATCCATTTTCACACTGTCGGCAAGGGTTCTTATAGGATTTGTCCTAAGCGAATTTAGTTATGGTAGTTTCAATGGTTTAGGAGATATGTTCATTAAACCTAATAGAGGGCGGGACCATGCCCACTTTTTAACATTTTTGTAGCCTACATGTGCTTCTTGCTACCCCTGTACCAAATTGCAGTTTTATACCTTAATTTACGCCCATCTACGAACTTACATTTTTAGCAAGGAACTCATGTACCAAGTTTCATTAAGATATCTTAAATTTTACTCATCTCATCATCCTGATCATTTATATATATATATAACCTTCCATTTAACTTGATTATTTTTAGGTGATACAATTCACCGTTAGGTGAACATGTTGCAATAGTATAAACATGTGCAAAATGTTAAAAAATATAGGGATTGATGTATAGGGAGAGTTGAAATATTTATCTCGTATATATAAGGGTGAACCGCCGAACTTACGTCACCATATTTTTCCCGGCAAAATCCGGGACCATTGTTTTTAGTCATCGATTCTTTCCATATTATAATTCACTGAAAATCGCGACATTTAATAGGTGAGAAAGCAAAACAATTTGATTCAATTCATTCTTTTTTTTTTAATTTCTACGCCCGGGATGGCCGGGACGCTTAACTCGGCCAAACCGGGACAAACCCGCTGACCAGCTAGACTTTAATGTAGTTAGATCTGACTGTTAATAGACATTATATATTCCACAGCTATTGAGCAAGTGGTGCATGATAAAGGTGTAATATTTCAAAGTAGAATTTCGTGGGGTCATAAAGCACTATCGAACTCTAAGCTAGCCAAAGCAACTATTTGCAAATGATATGCTAAATATGCGGTTTGTGAGTAAAAACAATAATCCACTGGACGGCGAAAAATCCTTTTCAGACCTAAACATAAAATGTTTATAAACAATTATTGTGGAGAACCGTAGAACTAGGTTGATCGAGAAAGCTGAAACGCTTAAGATATCAAAATAATGTGTCGGACTTGTTGGTATGCGAAAGCTCTCGGCAAGTTGGTTTTTGCATGAACTCACAAACGACCGATTCATCGCATCTTTTCTTTAAAATAGGAACTTTTTAATCTTCATGTTAGTCTTAGGCTTACATGTGAATCAAATCAACCATAGGTGTAACATTAATTACGTTTTGGTGAAAAGTCATGTGTCACAAAGTATCTGGCCTATTTTGAAGTCCATTTTATAACCCAAGCATTACTGAAAATACTTGTATCGTTAAACAACTAAGACACTAGAAGATAAGTTGCCATCCATACTGGTCGCTTAAAATAGAGATACAGATCTTTATATATACAAGTATATATATATATATATATATATGTATATTTTATGATATAAGAAACGCACCTGTGAAGAGTATTATAGCTTCGGTGCAGTTTAATCAACATCAACATCAACATGTGGGTTTCTGAACATTTTCTTTGACTACTGCACAAATTGTTGCCTAAATTCTTTCATTCATGAACCGGTCGTCAATAACTTGCCAACCAAGTCTTAGAGACTCGTCTGCTGAGAATGACCACTTGACTATATCGACTTCCAGAATTGTAAATTTTTAAGTTGGAAACTTTTACATAAACTTGCTTTTAATTAACTATTACTTGGATAGTTAGTTAAGTGTATTATTGTAAGGCAAATTTAGAACAATTAAGGGTTACATTTTGAAAATTCTCTTAATTGCAAATGAAACGGAAATAATTTGGGGTTGAACTTGTTTAGGGTATAAGTTTCATTGATAAGCATGAGTTATGATTCCAATTTTATATACGTAGTCCTCAGTATTCTGGTACTAAGCTAACAATTATAGAGTAGCAGTGTGCTATACGCATATTATTCTCAATCTCATATCAAAAACTAAAATTTACCAGGTCTGCAAGGTTCGAAGCTTTATTTGATTTCCTGATGTGCGTTCGCTAACTTTGCTTATCTCAATCATACAATACAAATATGTATCAGCTGACATAAGCCTCTTGGGTACAACCAATAATCAAATTGAACTTTTGACCTACTGACGGCCATTTAGAGTACCTAATCGCAAAACCTTGCCTAATTTTAGAATTGATGTCCACTTTAAATCGTAGTATTTCACAAACATGTGTACATACATATTTACCTATTTGGACATATACCATGTTTATCAAGGCCTCACAAACCAAGTTTTGTAAGTAATACTAGTTCAGAACATTTAAGAAAAACAAGTTTCCCAAGCGCAACACACTTGAAAGAAATATCAGCATATGTGCTCGCTGTTTAGATTTGTTTCAATCATTACAAATAAGTAAGTTAAATCTCTTCATGCGACACAATTTCGCAGGGTTGTGTTGTGAACGGAAATACGCAGCAACATCCGCCTTATCAGCAGATTCGAAAACCTTCAAATAATCTCGGAAGAAACTTTACTGCTCGGTTTTGTAATAGCCAAGCGCCGACGTGCATAGCTTAAAGACGTAGGGGCGCAAAGAGTTGCGGCTGCAGGGCTACAATGCAAACTTACAAGCACATCTTGGATGCCAACTAAGTTTCAAAACCCATTTCACGATTTCCGTGCTCCAAGGCAATCGAATGAGGCGCGCACGTCCGATCTAAAATCCTCAATATTTTTACACACACACACACACGCAAGAGCGCACGCAGCCACACAGCGGCGGGCACCAACACAAACGCAAGCAAGTAACCCACGCACACATATGCAGCTTTACCTCATCTCGTGCGGGTGCAGGCGTATTCGCGCAAGCTAATTTACTGCCAGCCGTGACCTGATGAGAGCACTCGGGCACACGACTACTAATGCATTGCCGGACCGATGCAATTGTGTTGGAGAGTTGAAACGCTCGCGCGCATAATGATTTTGGAGCAGCATGAAAATCCGTCGATTGTCGCGTGTTTAGTACCACTTCGAACGCTTGTCGGTCTCCATGTGGGGAGAGTGCTCGACGACCGATCATCGAGACAGATTTTCAGCAGCTCGCAGCGACTGGATGTAACGCCGCTCAACGGCAATAACGTCGTGCGCCTGTGTTCATTCCGTTGTCGTAGTTATAGTCGTAGCCTTCGTTTTAGTTTCGAATAAAACAAACTTTCAAATACGGTTTTTTAATATTTAATTCAATAAAAGGAATTTTCCAAATTCGATAATTTTAAGTTGGAGTTGTGCAAAGAGCTACTCACAGTGCGACATTCCTCAGAACATTCTAATTATTTAGTGCAATTGCCGATAGACAGATAAAACCCAAAATTACTACGATTCATTGCTCTGTGGGAGCAACTCAATGCAAATTAACTATTAACTATATAGTTTAAAAACAATATTGAGAAGTTATTCATTCATCATACCACGGTATAATAGTGTTTGCTGTATTGCCGCACGTCCATTGGATCTGTGGCGTTGGAAGTGTGGAGTCGTGACTTATTGGCGCCCAATCGAAGCATAACAATCATGAAGTTGCCCAGAGGCCATCTAGGTCTCTTGGGTAGTGGCGCCCAACGGCGTATGACGCACACTTATGTATGGTCGCTGATTTTCGCAACGTACCTGATTGCCTTCGTGCGAAATGACTACAGCTTTGCCGGTGCGAGGGTAAGTAAACAAAATGTTTTGATGGTGTAAAAAGCGTTAATTTTATTGTGACTGAAAATGTGTCCCTTTAAAAAAATAAACAATAAATAACATAATTCTCAATATTACTCAAAAACAATTTAAAATAGTTTTTTTTTAATCTCACGAAATTTATTTAAACAAAAACTGTCAATAATCCAATCATGCGTACATACTTCATGCATTCATATATACTTGTATGTACTTAATACTCAATTACCTACATATTGTTACAATAATTACTGTGCAACTATTGAAATAATTAGTGACGTGCTCGCCACTGTCTGTTAATAAATCCTAAAAAAAGTCAATCAAAATTGTTGCCTAGATGAATTTGATTTAGTACTACGCAAATCATCTATTAGCATTGAAAGGTGAAATTGGGAAAAAGGCAAATTTAGTGACGGAACAAACCTAACCAGCTCATAAGAAAACGAGAATGAATGTAAAAATAATAGTTTCATTTGAACAGCAAATCGAGAAACGGGCACGCACTTACGTATATTTGAGATTGTACCATTGTCTTGGATAATAATCTATGTGAAATTTCGTGAAGATATCTTGTCAAATAAAAAAGTTTTCCATACAAGGACATGTATTTGATCATTCAGTTTGTAGGATGTGTATTCATAACGGCAATTTTCGTTTTCTTTTGAAAAAAATGTTTATTAATTTGTCTACATTAATGTTGCCGCTTTGATATTATGCACTTATCCGCTTCTTCCAATCGTCGATACATTTCTCAAACTCGATTTTTGGAATAGCTTTTAGCTCTTTCAGCGATGCGCTTTTAATGTCATCTATGCTTGTAAAACGACGGTTCTTTAAAGATCTCTTTATTATTGGTAAACCAAAAAAATTATACAGAGTCATGTCGGGCGAAAATGAAGGCTGGGGCACCGTTACATTATTGTTTTTGGCATTTCTTTTAACAGACGAAAATCGCCAAGCTCATAAACACACGACACGACAATGTAAGAAATGAATAAAACTGCAATAAAGGTTCCGTACTGCATGTATATCAACATAATTTAATTTTTGATAATTGGCCTCTCCAACAACGCGAAATTTTAAATTTCCTTTATTATTTGAACACACCTCGTAGTAGTCCGATATCCGCGGTTTTCTTGGGGAGAAAAGGACGTGTGCAAAATTTCAAAGAGTTGTACAAGTATATATTAGACATGGTATCTGACGTTTCCTTCTTTACTACAGTCTCAACCATTATAACAATGAACGAAATCTAATATAACTAGTGTTGCTGTAGTACATAATCATAAAAGTGAAAAGAACTATTTTTGTTGGTAAAACTTGGCAACACCGTTACTAAAGATGGTCCAGATAACTGAAAATATTTTGCAAAATTAAGTCGAGTTTCAAAAAACTACAATATATTTCTAATCTTAAATGATAACTTAGAATAATTGGACAGTAATCATCAAAAACAATGTGGATTTCGTTGTAATCGGTACAGATTTTGGCATCTCTAGTTCATAAATAAACGGTAAACAATTTTATATAAAAAATGTACAAATTTGATCTTAAGATGTGCATTTGAGCTTCTCAAATGACAAAATATTGAACAAAGTTAGTTGTAACTATGTTTACAATTCTGCCAACATGAGGACATCTAAAAATTCTGCATTCGAAGTGAATTGTGTTATTCCCTCGGGAAGAGGAAGGTTCTTAGTAGTAAATTTCCTTATGCAATTTTTTTCCCGATGATATGGTGAATATTTTTCTTACACAATAATTGATTGCAAAAATTATCGGATATTCACAATGCTTAGAGAGCAGCGCTCTTAACAATATGCGAGCCTTTCTACTAAGGTTTGCCGGTATAAGTCTGAAGTGGTCAGAAGTCTTAAAGTTTAGGCAGAAAACATTCAAAAAAAAAACATCAAACCGAGAGCAACTTCGTGAGAGTAACATTAGCGCTGTCACAGTAAGAAGTTAGAGTATTTAAGCTGAACCCTTTCTTTTTCCAAATACAAAAAAAAATGTCAAACTGATCTGCAACTGATGAATTTCCGCACTCGAAAGCAAGCTTATATCAAACGCTGTAGCATTTATAAAGTTGCAGGAAATTTTGCTTGACGTATGGTAATAATTTTCAGGGACTGTACTCTTATAAGTCTCTCTTAAGAGCGGAAACAACGGAACGAATTCAATAACTTATAAATGGTAAAATTATTGTTAAAGAGACTAGCGTATATTTTAACACAGCTATTTTTGATCATTGATTTTGCAAAGTCGACCAACATTTCACTTAAGGGCGTTCACAAAAAATTTATATATACATAAATAAATAAAATAGGATTTAACTGTATAATCGAAATTTAGCCCGGCCTTCTCCCTTTACTTGTCGTATTCATATTCCACCAGCAATTTGTAATCATATATTAACCACGCAGAGCGGAAAAGAGTTAAAGTAAAAACAAACAAAATGTCTAGCATTAAAACTGTAAATGAAGAAAGTACAGAAGAGTCATGGAATAATTGGGTCATTTTATGGCAGTATTGCACTACATTTTTCTGATATGTGCTTCTTCGCTCTGCAGCAGACTGAGAAAAAACTGCGACAACACAATGCAGCCAAAGTAGAGTGACAAACTCGTCTCCGTTTTTCATGTTGTTGTGGTTAGGCTAAGCATAATTGTTGTAAATAAATACAATATATTATACATAAGTACATATATTATATTTCCGGAGTGCTTAAGGCCCCAAGTACAATCAATTGTCAATATATACACATGCACACACACAAATCTATGTGCATATGCATGTATATATATATGGAAAGTTCTGTGCTGAGTTTAAGCGCAGACTGCACCATTCTATCATTCCTCGCTTGATACATATACGTGGGTTGCGTACTTGGTGCTTGGGTGGGAGGCGGCATGCGATCATACTGTGTGCCAAGCTGGTTGTTCGGCTTTTAACTGCTGCTGGCATTACACTCTTCCTTTCAGATAAAAGCCAAACAAAAGATTATGGAAGTGTTACATTTCATAAAAAAAAAATGACAAAAACAACGACAGTGTATTCGCCAACAGTTTTCTTGCAATTAGTATGCAATTTATTATATATAGACGCATACCTATGTGCTTTTAAATATTTGTAATGCCGCATTTCTCAATTGTCTCCTTATTAATAAACCTTTTGCAGCTATCACTTGCATATTGTAATGGCAATCAAACGTGCATTTCAAGTGAGCTGTTGTGGCAACAGTTACTTGCCTCGTAAAGCAAAATTTCTTTTTGAAATTTAAAAACGATATTCTCTTTTGCATGTATACCTCGTTCACTAGTCGCCGATATATGAGAGAATTGCAGAAAGTTCAATGGAATTGATGACATGTGTCCAAGAGTGAAGGCCTATCTCCTAAAACTTTCTCACTTATTCACTGTAAGGAGCCAAAAACTCTCCCCTGCCAAATCCACGGCCACGCTATTTACAAACTAGACGAAGGAGTAAAGACTGGACCAGAATATTTCCGTTGATGACGTTCAAATTCCGACGATAAACAACCCTAAAATGTTAGGTGTTACATTCGTCAGTCTGCACTCCTTCACACTGCACACAACCGCAACAGAAGTACAGAGCGACAACAAGATCCTCACGTCGCTTGCCGGCAGCACTTATGGCAAGGACAAAGAGACGTTGTTGGCAACATACAAGGCAATCGGCCAGCCGGTCATTAATTACGCCACTTCAATATGGTCGCCTGGATGCAGCTGGACTTAGATGAAGAAGATACAGACCTGTCAGAACACCGCACTCCGGACTATAACAGGATGACTTGTTATGTCTCCTATCGACATCTTCATAACGAGGTCCTTTTTAGGAGCATAATACAGTTGCTGCCCGGATGTTTTTGCAGAAACCATCCCTGCAGTTACCTACTTCAAGCAGAGCCACCTCTTAGGAACACCAGGAAAACATTCCTCCATCATGTCGACGAACTAGAACAATAAACCCATCAAATTTCAGACACGATAGGTACGCGGCGGGTACTAAACGCCGTTCACAGTGGAACTATTAACCCCTTCATTAACTCCTTCCAGTGAATGGCATACTTTGGCGCCCAAACAACACTCATAGCAGAATAAATGCTGGAGTTGCCGCGTGAAACTAGAGTAACGCTCGCGCAACTTACTTCAGGGTATTGTAGCAGGTTAACTTCTACTTATCCGGAATAGACCCTGACCCTGACATACAAAACCTATGCCCTGCATGCAATGAGTCCAGGCATGACCCTAATTACCTCTTTGCATGCTCAATGAAACCTACTCACTTAACTCCTCTCTCCCTATGGTCCGAACCCGAATCGAAACAGCCCGTTTCCTGGGTCTACTATTAAGTGATTTCGTTGACAGTTAACTTATTGCTTTCTTCAATACAACACAATCGCGCGAGACATTATTCTTGCAAGCGCTGAAAGAAAGAATTAGGCGCCTTCTCCTGATCGAAATTATTAAATAATTCAAGTAGAAACTAAAAAAAGCTATACACAGTTGATTTGGCACATCGTTCTTTTGCTAATACAAACGTTTCTAAATCGATTTCTGCTAGGCTTATCAGAATTTGCCGTCCGAATTCGGTTTGCGATAACCTGCAAGTCAATGCCGAGTGCTAAACATAAAAAAGCACATTTTTGATTAATTTCATAAATAAAATGAATAAATCCTTATATTTTAATTTAGTGTGTTTCCGGTTGGTTTGTGGAATAATAAATGATTTAGACAATGTATTTTGCAATATAGTCTTTATCGGGCGCAATAGACTTGCTTTAGCACTTATTTTTTATTTTTAATGTTTATTGACCAATTCGAAAGGTCAATCGGGTTGGGTAGGCATACAAGTATGGTGATAAGCAATTTGTAAATTTTGGTAGGAGTATAATAATAATATATTGTATATATAAATATGTTTAAGTACAATTTATTGCAAATCTTTTATGCTTTTGCAGCTATAATATA